TTGTTACTTTCTGGACCTGAACTTTCCGCTTCTGAATAGGCCTAATATTAAATGCATTACTGCATGTCCAAGTGCTGATTCACATTCAGACGGTCACTTCCCATCATTCCTGAAGCCCTGTCACATGAAGTCCACAAAACATTCCCAGCCACTGCAGTGTTTAATCCACATAAGTGATATTTTTAACGATCCATCAGAATAATGTGTACGAACTGGCTTTCGTAGGAGAAAATAAGTTACATTAAAGCACATTGATTTCTTCAGCGTTTTCCCTCTTTATAGGAATTTGACAGAGCTCTCAAATCTCTGTTAATCCCTCAACATAATTACGCGATGTCAGTGCTCAGACTAGAAAAAAAAACGCTTAGCGAGACAGATTTGCTGTCACTTTTAACTGAACCAGTTTCACAGCTGATTATAAATGATTGTAGGTTTTTTTTATTATTATTTTAGACAGTTTGACGGGTTTAAATGCATGTATTAAACAACTGGACGTTAGGCCTACACATTTACCCATGACAAGAAGAAGGATCTGTGGACTCACAGAGCTTTTAACTGGACCCGGACCTCGATTAAATATTTCGGTTAGAAATGTTTTTTTTTTTTTTGTCGTAGTGCTAATACTGAGATCTGTGCAGCTAATGCTGCAGCCAAGGACAATGGACCATGTATCCATTCAATTTGCAACTCCTTCCCAGTGCAGGACTACAGAGGTCTGTATCACAAAGTTGGATTTCTGGGTTATTGGATAACTTGTCGGGTTTAAGGTAGTCTGGGAAAAATGTAAGTCAACAAAGATAAAGTCCATTTAGGCCAGACTACCTTAAATCCGACAAGTTAGCCGGCTAAGTGAGAAATCCAGCTTCATGATACAGGCCCTTAGCCTCTGTTGCTTAAGTGTTGGTATTTTCAGTGTTGTCATCAGGAGTGTCACTAGAGCAGGGTTTCCAACTTTGGTCAGCTAGCTGGTGTGAGATTTTTGGTTCGAGACAAGTCTGCACACGCACTTACATGTATATAGCAGTTTTATTACCTTGTAAATAGACTATAGCCTTTGCAAACTACCCCAATGCTTTTGATGTAGCTAATTTTAGGTTTATAATGAAGGGGGTATGGTGTAGGGGGTACGCTTTGGGACAACTCTGTTGTGAAAGGCGCTATATAAAAATAAATTGAATTGAATTGTATTTTAATGAAAATGAATGAGAGCACACTATTTAAACTAATTAGTGTACATTTATTTTTTTTGGGGGGGGGGGGAGACTAAAGAACATTTAAGGTTGGGGGGAGTAATGCCCCCTCAACACAGCCCTAGTGACACCCCTGACCATCACAGCTTCTGTTATGATAGCTGAGCTGTGCACAGGCAGGACGATCACCTCCCAGGATCTTCGGTACTGGGCAAAGATTTCCATCCCCACATGCGAGCCGTGGTTTTACTGGCCTATCTACAAAGTCCTATAGTCCCGCAGGCAGCTGATTATCCACAGTGTATTAATGGGAAGCATAATTCTTCTCTAAAAATGACCTACATTGCACAAGATCTCCCCCATGTCTCCACTTACTGGAACGGTGCATGAACTTAAACAATAGCTGGAAGTTATGCAACTTGATGATGTATTTACATAATCTGAAAACTATAGGACTTCCAAATACCAGTAAAGCGAGCCTGTTCATACTGGTTAGAGTTATACAAACAGTTGTACTGACATATGCCCACACAATGGCTCTAATAGGACACACATGTATTCCTGTGTAATTTAGGGTTTAACGTCAATGGCCCAAGTGATGCAATGCCTGATCAGGAACAGGCTGCATGCCTATATGAACAGTCCCTGAATAAAGCAAGCAAGCTGGGATTGGATGCTTATGGAGAAGTAATGTAACGCTCCGGACCAAAGATAGAGGCGAACATCCTGGTCCGGATCTGCTGCTGATTAGGGTGATTGTGAAACTGGGGAGTTAGCAGCCATTCCCGGACACCAGTACCCGCCCCTCCCCCCACCCACTCCATCCTGCTCACATGGAACTGGGAGCTGACTGGGAGAAGGAGATGGAAGAACAGTGGAAACTTTATTCCGCTGAGCACCATAGCACCATGAGCTCTTCACCCAGAGAGCCCTGTTCCCTGCCTAGCTGCCCAAATATGTAGATACAGAGCCAGATTTTCTGCTGCTGGTCAGTTATCGTCTACAGCACAAACAGAGGGTGGTCTTTGTTTTAGTTCCCCATCTGGCAAATATATATGAGATCCAGGCTGGGTACATATATCCACCTAAATTGCAGAATATGTATATGTGTGTGTGTGTGTGTGTGTGGGGGGGGGGGGGTCTCCTGTAGTATTTTTCATTTATCCCTCCTTTTCTCCTTTTCTCCTTTTATCGACTTCCCTCGCACCACGACTGCGTACTTGGTGTCTGCACACTGGCTGTGGTTTCTGGGAGAATGACAGCCTTTGTTTCTGGATGCCAGTCCTTGGTTGGCTCGGTACGTTTGGTAGCTCTCCGGGTTCTCGGGTTCCGTAGGTTCCGTCGCGTGAGGTTATCTGCCTGCACGGCTGACGCACTGTTTCCCTCACCTCTCCCTAGGGGATTCTAGGGGTTTTTTTAAGATGGAAGGGCATAAGGCAGACCATAATTCAATAGCCAATGATATGTTATGAATCGGTGAGTGACAGGGCAGGCGGTATTCAGGAGGGCCAATCAGCTTTTAGCTGGGGTCAGTGCCCCTGTGGCCCCACCCATGTACACATTCCTGTCTCTCCATCTTTCTACCTATTTTGCTTCCACATTTCCATGTTTCTCTTTTATTCTCTCCTCTTTCTTTCTTTTTCCATTCTTAGTTTTTCTCTCTTCTCCCCTCTCCCACCTGTCCCATGTCACCTCCCTTATCCCTCCCTTTCCTTCACCCTTCCCTCTCCTTCTGCCCCCCCCCCCCCCCAGGGAATGTACTCTTTGGCATGGGGAGTCAGTGGTCAGCACCCCATCTACAGGGCATGTGTGAAACAGCAGCCCAATCCATGCAAAATATCTGCCACAGGAAGACTCCTAACCTGGAAAAGGGAAATGGAAGATGGAATATGGGATTGGTCTTGTTCAGCGAGGATCCAACTGACTGATCCTTGATATTTGGAACGGGGCAAGACCAACATCTGCCAATTTTTACCATCCTCTGCTCTTCTGTTCTTAGTATTGGAACTGGTCTTCGGCAATAGAAGATGATGGAAAAACACAAGTACGGTCAAGCATGCATATTGGGAGACACCCATGGATACTTCTGAGCTCACCGTCGGGGCGGGGCTTACTCAGGTGAGTTATCTGGAGTTCTCCAGCTTTTGTGTACAAAAGAAATCACCATAGACACAGAGAGTTATGCTTGGTCGCCACCACATTTAGGGTTAATGCTGAGTGACCCCTCTGCTGCTTATATAAGCTGATATTCACTACAAAATAGAATTCAGAATGAGCTTTTACAACTCAGTTGAGCATATTCTATACAGAACCCTTATAAACAGCGCTTTGCAAAGCTTTTACTTCCTGGATTGACATAATAGCATAATAGCTAATGGATTATAAATCCAACTGAACTATGAATGAATATTCTTAACCCTTTCAACATCCCACGCCTATTGAGTTCTGTCATTGCTTCTGATAGATCGAAATTCAAAACGAGTTGCCAGAATTTACTGGTGTCTCTCTCAAATACCGTGATTTACGCTGCTCAGCGCTGGAATGGTCCCAAAGGTGGCGAGATACAGTGAAGTTATGTTGGACGTCGTACAAGGACTTGTGTAAAAGCAAAAAAACGCACAGTGATTGAATTGGGATTGAAATGTGGTTCACAGACTCTGAATACCATCGATTATGAGCCATTTTGTGCTTGGAAACACAAAACGCTAGATATATTGTACAAACATCATCTAGGGAATATTTTAACATGACATTTTCCAGAACTCTCTTGCTAACTGGACTGATTCCTGACTTTTATATTTACGCACAGTAGACAAAATATATATATAATTCTGACGCTTGGATTATGCTGCAGAGCTTTATTTATAGGAAAGAGATCGAATGCATTTACATTTACAAGTCCTGTTATTCAGGAGTTTTTGAGGTTTTAATGTTCTTTTTTTGTGCCCGATGCCATGGCATCCAGGACAGGTTTCCATGGCAACGGGCTCACTCAGGTGTCACATGGCACGAGCGTGGACCTGTCCCCTACTGCAATTCGCTTCTTTTGCATGGAGCTTAACCAGAATCGCTCCAGTAGAAAATGCAGCCATGTTACTGGCCAGGTTGATACCTCAAATAAAAGCATCATTCAAGCAATCGGGTGAAACTGTCTCTGCCGGCAGAAGTTTCCTCCCCTTAAAACACCAGCCTCACCCCCCAAAGTCATGTGTAAAGTGGAAAAAAAGGATAAAAGAGATTGTTGGCTGTAAATTTCAGACGATCTCTCATCAGATGGATGCCGTGGGGATTCAGACGCCAGATGGATCTCAGGGGAGGCTGCAAATTGCTGTGTGTGTCTGTAAAGCTGCTGATGATGTCACTGAGGAATCCCGAGACCTTAGAAATGTATCCACCAAGAGCACTGACCCCCAGCTCTTCCAGAGTGAGGCATTCCCTGAGGAAGGGCCCACAGTCACCAGTGGCGTTCCTCTAGGTGATACATACTCGTCTGGTCCCATTCCCTCTGAGCGAGGACCCTGCAATGCAGTGTATCTCTGAAGAAACTCACATGAGCAGTCGCACGCTGGAATGCTGCTGTACCCACTTTCCGCGGCTTTAACCCGTGTTCCGCTATGAGTTTTCACCGTTGGGCCCCTGAACGAGGCCCTCAACCCCAATCCCTCCAAGCACTGATTGACTAGGTAACGCCGCTATGGCCTGATTCAGCAGACAGGTGAGGGGTCTGTTTCCAACAGCGGGGGGGGGGGGGGGGGGGGGGGGGGGGGGGGGGGGGGGCTACACTGCTACAGTAAACCTTGGAAAGGGGGGGGGGCAGCTTCTCTGGCACTTTAAAGGGAGCGGGGGGAGGGTCAGGGTCTGCGTTTACATGCCTCTTTCTCCACCATCTGCTTTCCATCACCTCTGTGATGTCGCTCTACCCTCCCACAGCTGGGTGTTGGTGTGTTCCTGTTGGCTTTCACTTCCACATGTGTGTCAGTGTGTATTTGAGTCACATGGGACTTTGCAGGACAGATGGGAGGGGTGGGGGGGGGGGAGATGGATAGGGCTCTGCCCCTGGGGTGCTCAGTCATTAAATAGAAATAACCGGTTCTCCTTCAGACCACTTCCTCCAGAGATCCAGCTCTCCCTATCCACCAATCACATCGCAAATGTTACCAGCAGATGACGGGTGCCAGAAAGCAATGTCGGCCGTGTTTCCGGGGGTTGTTCCATATTGATGGTGCTTATCTGACCGACAGGCACCTCTGTGAAAATGATCAAACAGCACATGCTCTTCAGCCTGTTTCTGAAATACTCATCCTCACTTTAAGTCAAAGCTGATTAACATCTTAGCAATTTCTAGTCATCAGAAGAAGCAAAGAATATTGTTAATAATTTAAAAAATTATCATTTTTATAAATTATGTTATAATTCACGATTCCTTCAGATAAATTTGCCCTGGGTTCTGTGTGTCTCTGTTTATGTCGACCCAAACACGCTCCAGATGTTACGGCGGTAGGCTTTCAGAACGTTACATAAATCTCACAACGGTGCTTCTTGCTGAATGCGTAGAAACCTCCACGGAAAATTCTTTACACGACGGTAGCAAAGCATTCCCGAAAGACTTTACTTGAAACGGGAGCTGTCTGGTACATTTTGTCCCTGGGGGAAAAAAAATGCTTTCAATACATGTATAAAACGTTCTGTTGTGACCTTAAGCAGAAAGCCAGCGGCGTCCTGTGAGTGAGGCACCTGAAAAGTCTGTAAAGATGCTATTAGCTTAAACATCTCTGACGTCAGCAGTTAGGCTACTGTGGTAGGCCTTAGTTCAAGTCTTGGGTAACGCTTGACATTAATTGCACCTTCATAATGCCTTCATAATGCATTCATAAGCAGCACACAAGTATACCTTAACATTCTAACACACCCCATCAGCTTTAATATACATTAATAACAAACAATGTATGATTATGCAACATTAATGCTTGTTATTATTATATAGTGTTTGTTATTAATGTATATTAAAGCTGTTAAAGTATATTAGGGTGTACTTGTAATCATACAGTCGCCGGTTCAAACCCAGCCTCAGCACGTCTGTGGGTCCTTGAGCAAGGCCCTTAACCCCCAGCTCCCTGGGCGCTGCTACAAGTGGCTGCTCTTCACAGCCAGCTTACTCTACAGAGAGCAAGTTGAGGGAGGCATAAAGACAATTTCCCCAAGGGGATCAATAAAGTATCGATTATTGTTTATTATTACTACATAGCGCAGTTGAATGTTCTACAAATGCATTTTGAAGGTGCAGTTATTGTAAAGCATTACCAGAGTATTTCCAGAGGAGTGTTCTGCAGCTCTCTCTGTGTTTGTTCTGCTCAAGGTTCAAGCAAAGTAAATCTCTGGTGCAGAATGGCAAGCTTTGCCTCAGCCTGACGCCTCAGTGTTCTCCACAGGACGGGACAGAATGCATCACTCTAGTACTTCCTTGCAGATCTGCATCTTTTTTTCTGGATCCACGACATTTGTTCATGTACATTGGGGAGGTACTCAATCCTTCCACATCCACACCAATTCATCTCGCAGAAAGTATGATGACAACAATGTTAAACATACAGAATGTCAGATATGAAGCACGGCCTGTCGGCTCTTACTGACACTGAGATTCATTTGGCATTCATATTTTTTGTAAGAAAAAGAGTTTGTTGTGACAAAATTACACTTGAAAAAGTATCTTCTGCCAGTGGTCCATCTGTACTGTCCATTCAGCTTCTCTGTTTCCACTTCATCAGATACCGTGATGTATTATTCAACATTTCAACAAGCGCACTGATCATTCTGTGCTATTAAGTTCTTTACGAAGTATTTTTATGAAGTTTTTTTTTTTTTTGCAAGTTAGCTCAAACACCTGTTATTCATTCCAGGGGTGCATGTTGGACACACACAAACACAGAGACCAGCTACCAGAAACGTTCTTTCATGAACATTCTTAAATTACTGAAACAAACGGCAACCAGGACAAGCAATGAAGGTTCAGCGTGATGGAAAGAAGACGTCTATCTCCAGAGGCCAGGCATGCAGCCGTGCACCATGTATCCCCCCCTCCCCTCCCCCCCTGATACCATGGTCTTCTGGGACTTGTCACCTCCACCCCTCAAAACAGAGTCTGCTCACCGCGACATTTCCTGCAGGAGCCGTAAACGGCAGAGGCAAAGTAGGCGCAGGTGGTGAAGCCGGAGAGGGCCGTGGCGGCGAGGTAGGCGCGGTACGGACACGGGGGACCGTAGTGCTCCAGGTTGCAGTAGGTGCTCTTCGCCGTCTTGTAGGCCAGGATGCCGATGGTGGGCAGGTAGAGTGCCACCGCTGCCGCGTCGTGCACCACGTTGCTTAGCAACCAGTGCTCGCCCCCTGCCACTGGCACCACATCCTGCTTGCCCAGCAGCGTGAGGAGAAACAGCGCCAGCGTGAGGAGCCAGAAGAGGACGGCCACCAGCAGCGCGAAGTGCACCGGCCCGTCGTACTTGTTACCAGCGATGGTGGCCCACAGCCCGGCACCCATCAGCACCTGAAGGACCCTCGCTATTCCCATGAAGCTCTTCAGAAATTCCCGGTAGTTTGCGCCGGTCAGCCGCTGGGGGGGCATCCTCTCTGGGAGGGGGAGGCTGCAACCTTTCGCGGTGCTCCAGATGCAAGAAGTGGAGAAGAAGGTCCAATTAGGAGATGGCCGTCAGGGTCTGCCTTTTTTATCGTCTGTTCTGCACCCCCCCTCCGTTCCTTTTCCTAGAGCCTTCCGTGCCTCTGTGCTTTCTCTCCTTTTTTTCTGGAGGAGCAGGATTGGGTGGAGGAATTGGGGGAGACTTGAAATTCGAGTCCTTCAACTCCTTTGGAAGTGCAGCATCTGGAGAGAGAGCACCCCCCCAACGCTCGGAAGAGGGGCTGGAATGGAGGAATGTATGTTTGTGCGCATACTTGGTGATTTTGTTATCGTTTTTGGTTCTTTCCATTGGTTGCCTTTCAGCAAACTTCGGCTCCCCCCAAGAACTCTCTGCTTTTCCTAAAGTTACTTCATATTTAAAATATTATTTTGGGATGTACTTAAGCGCATTCCGTCACGCTGGCGTTTAGCAGCCCAGATGAGCTGTAAATAGCCGTTTCTGCTTCACACTTACCATGGGCCCTTTGCTAACACCGCTTCCCCTGCGAGGAGGTCCTCCCCAGAGCTCAGCTCCGGTGAAGACCACCCGGCCCACGCATCCAGCACCATGGTGCTGCTTTGTGATGACACGCACATGGGAAGCGTCCCCAAGGGGAATAAATCCGGACAGCAATTAAGCGTCCGTGTCGAGCGGGTTGTCTGATTCCGACAAAAAGAAGCAGGCGTCCTGCTTCTGTAAAATACCCAACTCTGTAACTGTGGAAACTAGGGTCATGTTTTATGTAAACTTTGTGACAACATAGCGTCCGCGGCCAGTCTCCATGTCCCCTACGGTCTGCATTACGGTCTGCATGCAGAAACACACAAACACGCGTCAGGGATCTTCTGTACCTCACTTTTGTACATATTCACGTCGCTTATGAATCACTTCTTTTCATTACCCTTAATTCTTGAGAATTCACAATATGCCTTTAAGTGGTTTTCTATCATTGCTATCCAAATTCACATTTTTCATTTTATAACGGAAGAATAATGTATTTTCCAAAGTATTAATAAGACACTGAAGTTGGACTTAAGTTTACACTGTAGCGGTGTATTAGTTACATTTGGTGGTAAATTACGACGATAGATGAATCATTATCCAGTACTTTTGTCTTCGACGCCTTGCAAGACGAGCTAAGCATTTTCATAGAGGGTAGTCTGCATCTGTTATATGGACCGCTGCATGTGAACAGACCTTTCAGTGTGCCAGGAAATGTTGTATTCTATGGCTCTAAGATGAATGAGGTAAGTCATGTTCTTACAAATTGCACGTATTTTGTCAGATTTAAGAAATCACAAGATACTTGGTAAAAAAATAAATAAAAAAGGTGCTGTAAAATGATATCTTTCTGGGTTCAGTATTAGTTTTTTTTATAATTATGACACTGCGTGTTAATATTAACATGTATTTAGGATACACCTTATTACATTCGGCACGAAGATTGACGCACGTACGTAATTGTTAGTGCGCAGTTATAGTTTACATAGCGTGAGCTGAACAATTAAGATGGCAAAATTACAGTAATCGGTATACGTATCCAGAAAAGCAGGCTTCAACGTGAAAGATAAACAGTGTCACTGCTTGCATTTCCTGTGACCCACGGCATAATAAATTAACTGCTTGAGTGCATTTGAGGTAGGCCTGACATGATCAACTAAGCAAACAGGAAACCCAGTTTAAATAAAGTCGGTTATACGCTGCGATAAGAACCACCACAATCCGACCAGTATAAAGCCGAACTGCTGATTTATCTTTATCATCAAAGCATATTCGTTGTTACATAGGCATTGAATAACCGAGGTCCTCATCGCAAACTGGAAATCATTATACAGCATTTGTATCAGTAATTAACAAGCTTGCATTAAAACTGTTTGCCACAGTAACCGGGATAAGCGGTTTGAATATAATGGACGAATATTGAATCTGTTTCCTGTCTGTTTTAATTGAAATTCTGTATAATTCATAAGTCAATTACTCTCTCAAATATACAGATTAAATATGCTTTAACGTTGTGTTTTAAATAGTAGGAATGGCGTTAGTTTCTGGTTTCTTCCGATTGTAAAGCACATCTCCTCTCAAAAAGAAACAGCACGTTTGTACACATTTGCGTGAATGTTATCATTTCAGATTTTTCTGTACAAACCCTGGCGCCCTTAGTTTGCTTTTCCACTCCAGGGTTTGGGATCGACGTTGCATTTCAGCTGCGACTTGAGGTCGCCACTGCAGCAAAAAGAACTCAAACACCCATATAAACATATTTTTCCTGGCATCCAAGGAATCTGAATGTCAGACTCCAGGCACGGTTGCCTACGGCTTTTGCCGTGTGCTCTGTGATCCCAGGACATTACATTCGAGGCTGGTTAGTCTAAGAGGTTTTAAATTATTATTAGCTTGATCTAAATCTTTCCCTACTGAGCTCAGAGACTGGGGCATTGACGTCAATGGAGGATTACACCTATAAAGTACGTAGCTGGGGTACGTAAACGCCGGGACCACGCCCTTTGCGGATACGATTGGTCAGATAAAAGCCCCGCTCAATCTCATAGGGTGCTCTGTTTTCAGATGGCTCCTCCCCCTGACCACGAAGGCACAGTATCGCAGCTTTTGTAAATTAAAATTTCAAGCGAAACGGTGGCGCTGGTCACTTTTGGGGGAGGAAAAACAGGCGGCGGGATTATGGCGTAGAGGTGTAATCTGGCGGCCGACGCGGGACCCGGCGTGAGTCGATGCACTTTGACACAGCGAAGCCGCTTTCTCGTTTACTAGCGTCTGAAGAGGCACCGTCACGCTGCAGCGAGCCTCGGTAAGTATAAGGACGTGCGGTTTGCTGGCGATCCGGTCGGGGGAAAATGGCTACAGCGTGACGGTGCCTCTTTTGGCTACTGCTGGTGCGGCACCTACCATGCAGCACGTCGCCTTACGGCTGGTCGCTTTGCTGTCCCCTGTAACTCAAACGTGGATAAAGCGGATAAGGATTATAGCTGGCGCGCCCCAGATGAGCCATAAACTGAATGACTTTCTGTTGCCTGCAGCGCCCGAAAGTGAAAGACATTTTTCTCTTTATATCTTAATATTTCGCCAGTCTTGTTAAAGGACATTAAGTCTAAACGATGCATCGTACATAGTTGTCTCGTTACGTCTGCAGCAGTACCCTACTTCCAAACCATCTGTCAGTCTGTTTTTTTTTTTTACATAACAGCTGTCGCTATTGAGTTTCAGTATTAAACGTAAATACACGCTTTGCCTTTTTGTGCGTTGCAGCCCTTGTAGCTGGTGGTTAGTACGGTATCTGAGAACGACTGCGTTCCGCAATTTTGCACCTTTCATGTGGCGAGTGAGTAATGCGCTATGTGTTGCGGTGCCGAGGCGCGGCGTTGCGCGAAAGGTCACAGCAGTCATGCCGGGGACGGATGATGGCAGCGTTTCGGTTTCGGGTGGCACCGTCACGAAGCGGAGATGCTAGAGATGCAATCTGCGTGTAGGTTGCGGATTTCGTTGAGGGTCTTTTTTAGGTCGTGTTATTTGTGACCGAGCCGAGCGGCGCCCCCGTTTACTGCCCGGGACCGGCGTTACACGGACAGTTTTACACCTCATGTGAAACTTGCACGTGGTTTGAAATGCAGGAACCTCGTGTTTGCTTGCAGGGTGTTTCACAACCTTTTTGGTTTCAGGTGCCGCCAGTGAAGTGTGAAGCGTTTCTGTAGCAGGCGTGGCATGGAGGACCCCCCTCCCCCGTCCGCCGTGGTTGCGCCCCCCGAGCCCTGGCAGTTGCCCGAGTGCCGGCGTCGCAGGTGCGGCTCTGCTAATATCTTCCATGGCCTGGGGCTGCGGCAGCTGCAGCGTCTCTTCCACCGATCTGGGGATCACAATGCCGAACACCGGGCACAGCTGGTCTGGCGGCGCAGCGATGGGGAGGAGTTGGCCCGGGCCCTGATCGGCCTCAGGACGGGCAGCCGACGAGGATGTCCCAGGGGGCCGCGGTGGCTCAGGGAGTTTCACCATCTCAGGTAAGGAAGACTGAATCACCATTCTCCTGTCAATGACCCGTCCCCCCACAACCCCATGCTTCCATCATGTGCCTGCTCTCATGGTCACATGTCCGCTGTTTTTCCAGCATCGGTGAGGTTTCCCCAGATAGCACCGAGGAGAACACAGAAGTCCATTTAGACTCCTCGGAGTCTGACGGGCCCGGAACCTCCGAATCAGCTGGAAACAGGTGGACGGATACAGAGCAGCCCCAGAGCACCCCCATCTGTGACGTCCGTGTTCGACACAGGATGCCGAGGGAAGGGGGGCAAGACAGGAACCCGGAGCGGTACCTTCACCGTGTCCTGCAGCGGCCGGGTCGAGCTGCACAGGGACGGGCAAGCGATGGGTCAGCCAAGGTTGACACATCTCAGATCAGCTGACTGAACCCACTGACTGACTCACTGCAATACTACTACATAAGCTTTAGGGGGCAGTGTGGAGAAGACAGATCTACCCATCCTTGAACCCACTGTGTGTGCCCTGCAGTGAACTGGCATCCCACACAGGGATTTTTTCTGTGCTGTTTGGCTCACTGGAACTCAGAACTGGATATTGAGTTGTGGCGTAACATGTGGAAGTACACTGTCAGATCACATGTCGCTCAGTCACATGAGACCTTTCCTGAGGAGAAGGACTGACCACCGCTGAAGCGGCATCGAGCCGTGCTGCTAGCATGATGCTGCGATATATACTCGCACTAAAAGTCGGGGTGGTCTGGAGTATGAGCTCAGAGCAGGGCTGTGGGTGAAGACTGGTTTTAGTGGTGGAGCAGTAGCCTTGTTTGGTCGCCATGGTGCTTGGAGGGTGAAGGTTAAATTTCTGTTGCGTAAAATGTTGGCGGAGTGATGAGATAGTGCCATAGGTTACAAAGGGTTATCTCCCATAATGCCTTAAGGTCATATTAGCATGCTAAGCATATGGTTTTGACCTTTAACCCTATGGTCACGAGTCCTACAGATCGATCGTGGCCAACTGCATGCCTTCCTTCCAGCAAACACTCTGACACGGGGAGTTTGTTTCTTGGTAGGACGCCTCAAAACTAATATCAGAAAATACACACTTGGATCAGAACTGCAAGACTGTGTTGGAGCTTGGGAAATGTGGCGTTCGTCCAGACACTGCTGGCCTGTAACCTTAGGCTACAAGCACATGAAGATCAGTCGGATAAATGGAACGTCCTCCGTGTCCATGTCACTGTTAGACAGCGTTGTGATGCACATTAGTTTGTTGATTTCCTTCTGTGAAATTTTCCATGATCCTCCTTTCAGTTTGAACCCAATATTTGTGTTACACTACACAGGAATGGCCTTTGTCTTAACGAAATCTTACTGTGAGCTAAATTTTGAGAGTGACATTGCCAATGCTTGACTGACACTATATGGGAAAATGTTTCTTCTCCCCACAGATAGTCATGGACACTACAGTTTTTTTTATATATAAACATTAAAAATGTTAAAGTACAACTTCCATGTTCTGTGAAGGTCTATGTCCACTAACTATGCATGATTAAAAAAAATGTTGAAATCCAGTGGAATTTTGGTTCACAGAGAATTAAAGCTGAGATGAATAATTTAGTCAGTTATGATTGTCTTCAACCTACAGGAAAATAATGAACTATTTTCAGCAGGATAGTGGTGAATCTCTCGCCATACTTTCCTGGCTTCTGTCAAGCAGGCAGGCATGATGAACTGAGCACAATAAGTGAGAAAGAGATTCATTCTCCCAAAACATATCCCCTATTTCAGTGTTTCCCAACCCAGTCCTCGGGGGATCCCCAGACAGTCCACGTTTTTGCTCCCTCCCAGCTCCCAGCCAATCAGGAACACCGAATACCTGGTACAGATGTGCTGGGAGCTGAGGAGAATCAAAGACGTGGGCTGTCCGGGGTTCCCCGAGGACTGGGTTGGGAAACACTGCCCTAATTGCAGCCCCTTTGCAGATTGATTTGTTTTGAAAAATGTGTTTAATACTTACTGCTAATTTAATTGCATTTTCATTTTTAGTTACTGAGCAGATGCTTATGTCCAAAGCAGCGTACATTTGCGAAAACAGGGTCAGCCCATGCTTGGAGCAGGTGGGGCTCTCAGGCCTTATCCAAAGGCCCGATGGTAAAATCACTGGCAACTTCCCAATCACAGGGACAACAGCCTGACCCTCTGAGGCACACGGACAGCCTGACCCTCTGAGGCACACGCTGAACCTCACTGCCTGGAACAAAGAATCCTCACAAAACTAGATTTATTATTGACTCACCATCATCAGGCGATCACAACTCCTACACGATGCTGGATAGTGTCTGCTAAGTGTCTTCAGGGCCCTGACCTTGAGTGAACTCTTTCCCCATTTCGCACAAGACAAAACTAAGGTATCTGGTCTCCCTCGCTTTACTGAGTTTAGTGAAGCCTAGCTAGACAAATGCAGGCTATGGAAATCAGGCTGGAGCAAGCTGTCATTGTGTTGAGTCTTTATAGTTTATATAAAAGCATACACAGGCACTTTTAAAATGATTAAAACATCCCGCTCATGCCGCACAAGGGCTCCACCTGGTGGACTGGCTGTGAATTTTGCCTAGTGGACACATTTCAGAACTCTGAGGTTTCTGCGGGACCGGCGCAGAAACTGAAAAAAGCTGAATACAGCTTCAGATAAAACAGAAACTGAAAGGGGAGCTTCTGTGGAGCAAGTAAACAACTAGCTGAAAAACAAGTCGGTTAGCTTCAGTCCTTCATAAACGTGATACGTGCATTTGGCAGGCCGACATGAGCGAGGGGGATTATGGGAAATCACTCGGTAGCAGGGGAATGTCATTATTTTATCCGTTAGTAGTCGACCATGTTTTTTACTCTCAAAAAGGTATGTAATAAAAGATGAGACAAAAATGAGATGATATCACAACTGAATTTTGTTAAACGCTTTTCTTTCATTAAATATATTATACAAATTTTACAGAATCAACATATCTGGTGACAGTGGAGGGAGGGGGAGGGTAAGAGCCCCTTCCACGCAGGTTACTATCGCAGATTAACGCAGCTCTGCGGGTAAACATACACAAGGCGGCATTACATAGCGAGAACCTCAAAATAGCGTCTCTCATATCTGCCCTCCTCGGGGGCCAACCAACAGCAGCGTTTGGCATTTAGAAATAGATTCCGGACATCTTTATATGCCACTAAAAAGGGGAATCGCCACAAGAGCAGCGTCACTGTCAGGCTCCTATAACCAGTGGGATTTAATCAAGCATCCAGCAATTTAGCCAACCAGTGCATGGCAGGATATGATCTGCAAATCGGGGAGGTGGGTCACAAAGAGACCATGTCTGGACAGTGGACCACTGAAAAGGGTCAGAGGCGGAGCTAAACTGTTCATGGGAGTGGCTTATTCCTAGCTAGGGCACCATTTAAGGCAACATGAACGGGGCCTTCAGAAAAAAGCAGGTAGATACTGGAAGGGACCCACCCCCACCCCATGACCTGCTGCAGGCCATCACTGCCCCCCCCCTCCCCTCCCTGCCAGCCCCCAGCTCTACCACCAGGTGAAGAAGGGCCGGCGGCTCTGAAAGCTCTGCGTGTAGGACTCGCTGTTGGACCGCTGAGTGTTCCGCACCGTCTCCACCAGCACCGGGGGCATCTGGATCAGCTCCAGTGGCGTCTTCCTGTACTTCAGCGCCTGGCTGAGGTTGAGGATCTGAAACGCAGGGCACGGCGTTCGCTGCGAGACCCACAGCCGGCTCACATGCTCCAAGCGGAATACAGCATAGCAGGTAAACGCATGCTGTGAAAGTTAGCAGGGGTCCCTGCTGTTGTACCAATAAGAAAAGTACCAATTTAAAATTAATGTGTAAAACAGGGGTATTCAGGGCTATGGGGGCAGTTTGTGTTGCTCGGCAAGTCAGGATGCTGTGCCTATAACCAGAAGGTCACTGGTTCGAATCCCAGGCTTGGCAGAGTTATTATACTGTTAAGCAAGGCCTGATTGCTCCAGGGACTGTGACCCTGCCTTCTCCAGAAAAATAAAACACATGTTGCTTTAGATAAACAAAAGCACTAAATAAAATATATTCAATTTGTCCTGAGCTTTGCAGATATAGCCCTCCAACAGAATGGCTTTGATTTATAGAATGTATGTATGATAGTTATATTATATATAGTTACATATATAAATAAATTATATTATTCATATGATCTATAAATGGATTCAAGAGGACGAACTGGCTCACCTGTCCTCTCATCACTGCCCCCTGTCTGTGGAACTGCCCCCTGTCGAACCCAGGGTCCCGCTGGGAAAAAGACATCAATGCTATTTTCATAGCTCGCTTCCCAGAAGCCATCCCAAAGTGACCTTTAACGTATCAGACAAGCCAAGCTTTTTATAAACACCAGATCAATAGTAATCTAATTTAAAAAAGTAATTATAAATATTCGGCCAAACACCAACAATAAAAAAACTGGACTTCCCTTACAAAGAGCTTGTGGTCTCTCATACCTTAAACAATTCATACAAGTCCTCCTCGAGGTCTTTGACAAACTTTGGGTCAGAAAGCTTGGGCAAGACCAAGTCCTTAATCTCCTGCGAGAAGGAAACGTTGGCCTGTGGCAGCCAAGCCCAGTAAAATGGATCTGAGTGTGACAGACAGACAACGGAGAGAATGAGCTAGAAGCTGAGCAGGCGAGGAAAGCGCACACACAGCAAGATTAAAATGATGCAGGACTGAATCAAGCTGGGTCCTTAGCAAACACCGACTATCAGTTCTACAATAATCTCTTATCCAGATCCTCACAGCTCTTAGAGAACCACACCACCTAATATTAAATATGCAGCCTGCATACATAGGAGGAAAGTTCTGGTCCAGAAAGTAAAAATCCAGACCAAGATTTTGTTTCAACCAACCAGTTGAGTATAACAAACAAAATCTTGGTCTGGATTTTTACTTTCTGGAACTGAACCTTCCACCTATGTATGCGGCAAGTGAAACACAAATAACTGCCTATTTGTTCTGGCCATAGCCAGAAACCATGGAACGTTCTGGAAGCCCAGCCCATCCCCCCATAGTCTGTGCCTCCCAGTGCGGCCTGTGGGAATCCGCTCCGGTTTTTAGGGCACTCACAGGCTCTCCAGGAGTCTGGGTGTTTGAGGGGGAAAGCCAGGCCGTTGTCTATGGCGGCCAGCTTGATGATGGGTTCCTTCACCATCACCCAGTCTGCATCCTAAATGGAAAGAAGAGAATGCTATGAAAGGAAGGTGCCCTCAATGGGTAATGGCGTCCTGGAAAAGCTGAGAGGCTAAATAACCCTATCCCATCACCACACCCGGTTTTCACCACGGAAAATGTATTTTGCTTATAGAACAACGATAATAGATCTCAAACATTTGTGGTTTTATGGTGCGAGTTTCATACTTTTGGAACTGCAGATGTGCAAATCTGACAAATAAAATCAGTCCACTTACCCTGCTTGCTCCGGCGTCCGTAGGGCAGTCATATTTTATAAGCCAATTGTCGTTCCCTCGATCTATGAGCACAACCCAAGTCAGCAAAAATTCTCTTCCCGTAAGCCGTAAAATAATTCATGACTGCAGGATTTTGTCTACATCAGTCTATATTGTGTTATAGGGTTTACAGCTTTACCCACCCATGGAACATAGTACTGCAGATGTAGAAACAAGGAACTAGTCTGAGTTCTTCTTTAAAAGGTGCAAAGTTTCTGAATTCCACTAGAGGGTGATGTTGTGCATACCTGTATTTCTGATGATGTAATCCAAGACCACAAGCCTCTCAAACTGCATCTGCAGCTGTCGATTAGTGTTTTCTGGTAGTGGTTCTGCCTCGAATCGTCGAAGCCAAAAGTCTGCATCTTTGTAGCCTTCTACAAACAACTGGAATGATCCCACCTGTACAAAAACAATAACCATTATGTGCCCGTCAGTATACATCCATTCAAGTACCACGTTTCAACCCAACTGTCAGACTAGTACTTGAGTGGATGGTAGCCTGTGGAAAGTGAGACGGTCGCTGCCATTGGCTACATCGTCGTCATGGAGATCACAGCAGAGGCCCACCTTGGGAGGAAGCCCGATTCTGTGAAAACGCTGGCCCACTTTCGGCACTTTTTCCAGGGCGAGTTTCTTTCCGCGGGATTTGACCCGGTCAATGGCGCTGTAGTTGAAGGTTTCACTGGCCAAGTAGACAACCTGTCGGAGGCAGGGGTCAGTGAAGAGGGGAGGGGGCAGAATCAGTAGGGGGGTACGTTTCCCAAAAACATAGTTGCTAATTGTTAGTTAGTAATTATGTTAGCAACTTACGTAGTAGAAACCATGCGACTGAATGGGTACAACTATGTAGGCTGCTAACAAGATCATTTTGGGAAACGTGCCCAGGGTCAGATGGAGCACCACGGTGCCAGCAGATCATAAAAGCCTTAAATAACTGCACGACTCGTGGCTTCTGCAAGTCAGACGGTGCAGTGGTGTAAACATAACACCCATGTTTGAGGTTAGCTATAAGAGGTTGATGGGAACGATCTGAAATATCCACAGTTTCCCAATACCTTAAGGCAAGGGTGAAGAACCATCGGGAACTCAAGAACTTCAGACCAGTATGGATTGAGAGAATGCATGACTACCTCAGGTAAGGTGATTGACCTTCCTAATACTGCAAACATATCAGAGAAGAGAGTGAAGACGCCAGATACAGTCTTACTCCACCCAAGACCGTACCTTGGTCTTGGGAACAATGTTGAGCTCCAGCTTCTGGTCCACCAGGCCGGCTCCGGCCTCCGACAGGTAGCCCTGGTTCAGCACCAGGCAATCCCGGCCGAAACAGCAGGGACAGCACAGCTTCTGCAACCACTTGGTCCACTTGGGGTTCAGTTGGCCGTACGGCTCCTCGTTCTTGGGCTTGAACACCCCGACGATCCTCTGAGTAGTTACAGATGGAGGAATATTACTTTCAGAGGATAGAAAACACCCAGATGTGGCCCTCACACAAACCTCACATCACCTTGTGGCAGTTTTTCAGTCAGTCAGTCTCTCCCTAGATGTTTCTAAGGCAGCATTACTTTCTTCTCTCATCCCCCATGACTTCCACCTTACACACTATATATCCTAATTTGTTTGTAGCCAACCCAGGCATTTAAAACATTCATCAGGAAGAGCTCACAATATTTGAATTATGCAACATAACAGGTTTCATGGAAGAACCTGGATTTGTTTAGGCTACCACTATGCACAAGGGTAAAGAGTTTTCTTTTAGGACACAGGCCATGTTTAATGTGAGATAACAAGGTAATGTAAAGCGGCTGGCAGGTCATTAAGTGAATAAGATAAGCCCCATTTCCATCACATGACCAGGTATGACACGCCAGGAGAACAGTCTGCTACTGTGAATACGATAATCCGCCGTGGGTCTATCTGTTCCCCGCGTCCCACGTGACTGATAGCCGGCATCAAGGATCATCTGCATCTTCCTGAAAAAGTGTTGATTGTGACTCACTTACGGATTCTCCCTACGCATTGTTCGGAAATTGGGATTAGAGATGTAAAGAGAACAAGAAAAAGCGAAAGAAACAGAGTTTAGCAACGCGGTTTTAGAGCCCCATCTCCGATCCGGGCAGATAAGGATCCCGCCGCAAAGGAGCAGCTTCAGCTTCCCGCTCTGCCACCTGTCAGAACAACTGCATATGTTATATACACATTCAAAACAAAAAGCCCGTGTGCAAATATACCATATGCCTATAATAATGCGGGACTCCCAAACAGAGGAAAAACAACATCATTCATATATAAGTTTTCGTTTTCTCCAAAATGAAACTAGATTTACAAGCCGAGGTTTATTTATACAAATTAAAACCGAAAATGGCTCACATGCGCTTTTTAAACCTCAAAAACAAGGGGAAAGCGAAGACCTCAGCTCCGCAGTCTGATGCATTTCCTCTTTTTGGAGAAAAGCCCCGCTAATTGGAGTAAATTAAGACTTTTAAGTCCCCACATTTAAGATTCGGGTATCGCTCGATTTACGAGTTGTCGCGTATGAGATTTAAATTACTTAATGACATTTACAGAGGTGCGTCCAAGTATGAGGATTATTTAGATCTTACGTGCAAATTGAGCCCAGTGTGGGAGATTAGAGCCAGAATCCAGCCGTCTATCGCCAAGCATTTATTTCAACTTCTGCTCCATATGCTTGTCCTGTCCGAGCTTGTGATCTCGTCTCAGTTTATCCAGTGTTTCCCCCCCCACTTAAATTAACGGTAATTACTTTAATCTAATTAACTTAATATACTTTATGAACCGATTTCCATGAACGCGTTAGGGCGTATTAATATGCATAGTGAAAAAACCAAAGTCACATTCCGGGTGCGAGAAGCATCGTTTAAAGCTGCAGGTGACGGCGGTAACTTTTTATAAAAACAGAGACAATTATATGTCAATTCAAATAAATTATTCAATTTATAATTATTAAATATTATTAACGTAGAAAGATTTCTTAATACGTGATTGCTGTTATTTAAAAATTATTATAACAGACAGTTTAGTAGTCCATGTCACGGATCAGGGTCAAAGCAAGCGACACGTCACTGCCCTCTAACCAATGCACTTAAACGTCAAACATAAACTTCTCACCCCCTGTAAATCTTTAACGAAATAGCTGCCGCTGGATCCCTGGTAGATCCTTTCTGGGAAAACCCCTTCCTCGATTGCTCGTTCTGCCTTTCCAACGATCTCCCTGAACTCCGGATCGTCCAGGAACTCGTCGCTATTGAAGTCCCGCTGAGCGCTCCCCCTACCCCGCTCCAGCCCCGGCTGTCGCCCCTGGCTGCATCCCGGGCTCCCGGGAGGAATTCGTACCGCCGACCCTGGCAGTGGCAGTCCTCTCAGCGCGCCCTGGTGAATCGCAGGGTCGGCCGGGGGCTGGCTATAATTAGGCGAATCCTGATGGGGAGAGAGAAGGGGGCTCGTTTCATCCATGCCAAAACCAAACACAGTAAGTAGCAAGTAGGCCGGTCAGACACTGCAAGGCATCAACCACACATCATCCCGATGCTGATTCAGCTCGAACGCACCTTAAAACATGTGACGTTGCTGACTTACTTCCGGGGAAGGGGACGGGCCCATCCCACCCACCACGGAATCCACCAATCAGAGACGGAGCGGCGCTAAACTCCGCTGTTTGTAATGCAGCGTGGTCAATCTTGATGCGCTAGACCCTCTGCCAGCCGGGACTGCTTTTCTTGAGCACCGGCATCTGCTAAAAACGTATGGTATTTGAAGTAGTCGTTGAAAGTCACGTCCAAAACACGAAATTAAATGACAAAACGTTGTTTTTGCATCATGCCATGCGACTTGAAAGGCGTGGATATGCGGCTGGTGTATCATAAACAATATGAGCTCGGATAGTCTGGCTTGTTTATCACTAGTGGTCATTATGGCACCTGTGCTGATAATGTAATACATAAGGTTTTGTCATTTACAGTATAGACTATCGCCCAGTACAGGTCTCGGCCGATTTGGCGCCCTAGGCGAGCATCACCACCGGCGCCCCCTGGTCCGAGACAAAGTGAAACTGGCTGGCGAGCGCCTACAGGATTGACCGGCCCTAACATCGCCATATGAAGGTTTCTGTAGAATGACGTTTGAGCTGATTGGATCCTAGAGCTATAGCTTGTTGTAGCAACAGTGGTTTCCAAGGGGAGGAGGTACAGAGTCAGGCATGGGGTACCGAGTGGATGAAGGAGGAGAACATTATTTACTGAAGGTAAGACGACACCGCAATTTTCCTTTCTCACACCGTAATATTACTCATTATTCATGGGGTATACATATGCAGTTCGTGTTTTTTTTATTGTGTAATGCATTAATTGCTTATGTATAATAACGCTATGGCAAGGGGGAATACAGGTGCAATATTTTTGACATTTAAATATCTGAAATATATCATGTTTTAGGCTATTTATGCATCTTGTAAACAAGTCGCAATTTATATTGTGAAACATTGCATGTTTTTAATGTTTTTCCACAGTAAATAACATTTAATATGTTGTTTTGTAGTGCAAGTTTCCCCCTAAACTGATGTACGTTTTCGATAAAGTTGAATGGAGGCAGACTGGAAAGGTGCGCGTTCCGGGAAAGATGGTGTTTCCCCGCAGTGGATCCCGTCTCCAGACTGCCGTTCCTCACCCGTCGCCGAGCTGTCGTGCAATCTAAAGAAACTTCACTGCCATGACAGGTATGGGCGAAATCTGCGGTAGGCTATAAAAGGAAAAAATACATAAACAACCAGAAATCATAAACTATACATAAAAATTGCCTGAGAAATATATGTATCGAATATCAAAAAACATACGAAGTAAATCATGTTAATCAATTTGGTGAAGATTTAATGTTTTTTGTTTTGTTTTTTTACTCTACAGCGCCACCCCACGGAGAAAACTTCAACTGACGCCGGAGCTTAAAACACCCAGTCCTTTGTCAAGCCGAAGCGTTTCCCGAGAGATCAAGACGCCGGCAGGTTTGGGCTAGTCGCTTAGCTTTTTCAAATTAACCACAGGCTTTTCTCTCAGCTTGATGACGCGCTGGGATAATTAAAATCTCACTAAAGTAACCATTCAATGTCGGCAATGAGACCAGTATTGCCAACAGGCCTATATTATGAATCCTTGTTAGACATTTCCACGTGTAATTATTATTTTTATTTATTTATTAAACCTGATCATCTGAAATGTGTGTTGGGGGGGGGGGCATTGATGTATTTTTCAACTTTTTTTCTACAGTCACAAAGAGGAAAGCGGAGAGGTAAGAGAAAATCATATAAGTCACTGGGCTTCATTAAAGCACAAATGAATTTGTTTATGAAAAATGTAAAACACACTTTATTTGCTATGAAACAGCTATGATTTGCCATGATTTAATCTGCACTGTTTTGAAGAAGCTCTGCTGCACAGTCGTCTGTAATGACTGTGACTGAGACATCATGCTGTATGAAGATATACAGAAAACTTAACATAATTTTACTCACTTTCCACATGTCATTTCTTTTAGATTCAGGTCTTCGTGCACACTTTCTAAGATGGTAAGGTTTACACCTGACTCTCCTCAGTGGATATTAATGCAGATTCATAATTAAAATTTCAAAAAGGCTTAAAATGATCTTAATATTTCTTTAGTAAACTGGCTTAGATATGATTAATCAAATTTTGAGTAGTGAGGACAGTCAGGACTGGTTAAGAGAAATAAAGACAAAATCTATCAAGCACATAAAGAAATGTAAAACTTATATGAACATAAAAATATGACACTGAATCCTATTTTATGACCTTGATAATTGCATTCACAAATATTAATTAATACAATCTGTTTATATTGATTTGCTTTCCTTTGCGAAACCCCAGTCATCACTGTGTGTTGATGTAACTGCCAAAGCATCTGTGCACTGCCATTACACTGCAGTGCTCTGTGTATACAGACAGCATTTCTTTTTGCTTATTGAGTAGGATTATTACAGTTGGAGGGTTATTGACTCCCCAGAGAATTATGGGATCTCTGACCCCGATGTTCATGCTCGCTGCTCCGTCATGTAGAGGCGACTGCGTGTCAAGCTTTCCAGTAGGTTTGTGGGCCCAGAACCAGAGCGAGAGTTGGCCCACCTGGAGGAGCCGCAGGGCGGGACATCCCAGAGAGAGGGCGTGGGTTGCCTTGGAGACGAAGACATCCGAGATGTAGTGGTAAGGCACGCGGGAATTCGCCATGCCGTTAATTACCGTACAGGGAGCAGACACAAGTTCAGGCACTCCAAGCTCCAAAGGAACAAAGATGGTGCTTTGCGTTTTTTTGAATGAAGAGTCATGACCAACTGGCATACAGTTAGAGATGTAATTCTCTATTATAATCATATAACAGCACTCAACTGCGTTTATTTGACGGCAACACTTAAACTGATTTAATTAGTCATTACGTGTTTAATTTAATAAACATTGTAGGCCTAACTGGCATTTTTAACTCTATTTCACTGGAACTTGTAAACTGGTTTAAGTAGTTATAAAGTGTTTAATCGTGTGTTCAGCATGACGTAAATGAAGAGCTATTTTGTTTATTGGTAACTCCGGTACCGTCGTTACTTCCCAGGATCACCGCCGCCAGCTTTGGGAGACGCGCTGTAGGCTCAGGCGCCCTCTACTGGACATCCCGCTCTCTGTCCTAGAGGACAGAAATCTGATTGGAGACTTCAGCAAGGTGTGGCTGTAATGAGCTGCCTCTGAACACAATACAGAGATGGAAAAACTGTATGGAACACTCCTTAGAAAATAATGATTTATAATACAAAACCTTTCCATTTAAATTAGTTTTTTTTTTCTTTGCAGTTCAGATTTTTAGTGTAACTTCATTCAGGCCACAACAACGTTTCTGTCTGTAAGGCTATTATGTAAAAGTTCAGTTATAACACCGTTGATTTTTGTCATCCTGACACATTTTAGAAATTGACACTTGCAATTACGTGTTAAATGCATTGACACATTGTGACTGTTTTATAAAAGTGTGTCCGACATCACCTGCAGCATCCGGACACGTTTGGGAATAAAAAGGCGGCTTTTCTGTGAAATGTGAGACAGATGGTGCTTATTAACAGTCTGCATGTTTCACCAGCCACATCTGTTCATGGAGGGGGGGGCAGACCACCAGGACCTCAGGGGTATATCGGCTCAGACGGTGAGCGGCCGCCCTGCCAGACCGACCGGGAAGCGTGGCAGGCAACACACCTCCTTCAAATCTTCTGAAAGCGCCTCAGAACCGCCTCAGACGTGCAGCTGCATCTAATGTTTGTCCTGCAGATGGCGTCTCTCCTGCTGGGACAGTACAGCGCCGTGGTGGGGGGCTACCTCATAATAGACTGCCGATACCCATACGAGTACCTCGGGGGTCACGTCACGGTAATGATCCTGAGCAGATGTGGTGTGACTGGTGTTAACTGAGCAAAGCCACATGGTGTGGCACCATACACCAAGCCAGACGGCGATTCTGGAAAGAAACGGGAAGAACAGCGAAGTATGATGGAGATTCCAGCAGGTCGTCATATTTATATCTTGTTAGTCTTACAATGATCTTGAATCCTTGCAGCCTCTACAAACTAAGTCAGAATATCCGCACCGCATCTCCACGATATTCCTACAAAGGCAGCTGATTAAAAAATGCGAGCATGTAATGCTTATGGTGAGTTCATGGGCCAGTGGGTCGCGAACCAAATTTGGGTTGCACTAAGTTCTGAAAGGGTCACGAGGCAGAGTTGGAAATGTAAGCATTTTAAAAGCAGCAAGCTCCTATGCTGATCCAGGATCAGATTTCCCATCCCCAGTCCTAGAATTAACTTATATAAGCGGGTCTTGGGTCAGCAACTGCTTAGAGCAAAACTAGTGAACATTCAAGCAATCCAAGAAGTCAAACCACAGATGCTTAATTTGAAATTCACTGGCACATCCAATCAGATTTGTGCGATAGGCTAAAGAACCTACAGACTCAGCCTTTCTCAGCATGTCAATAGAGGGATACCGTGGGTAAAACAGAAAGGGGGCGCTACTGAGTCCTGCAGATCAGGCAGGTTTAAACAGCATCGCTTGTGTCTCGTACTGAGCCATTATGCAGTGATGGCGGCGCTCAGCAGATAAGGGAAGTCTCCAGGGTGTCTCTGTGTCTTATATTCCGCACCTAAGAGACGGTGGTTGGTAGTTTGGTGCTGAGAAATACAACTAGTGTGACACTGTCCATGATGCCAAAAATGGGTTTTATTACATTGGTTTAGAACCCCCAGGTCAGGATTAAGATGGTGGACAAACTCCCTTAGGTCCAGAATGTTAAAATGAATGACATGGGTATTAAATGGAGCAGGAGATGCGTGTTGTTAAGCTCCGGGCGTCTACGCAGGGGGCTGTGAACCTCCACTCTGAGGATCAGCTGCAGGAGGCGCTGTTCCTGAACCCGGCACCGTTCCTGGGAAGGCAGGACTGCTGCCACACAGGCTGCGCGGTATCAGCTATTCCCCCAATCACCTGGAGTCCTGGCACCAGGGGAGGCCAATCAGAGAAGCCCTTGCGGGACCTCCCCCTGGATGGAGCGCAGCCTTCAGACGCCTCCTCCCCCCGGAAGCTTGTTATCTTCCATTGCGAGTTCTCTTCCCAGCGAGGGCCGCGGTTGTAAGTGTGACCACAATAAAAGCCCTCACACACTGACACGCACAAGGGCGCACAGAATTTTCAGCTACATCTCCTAAATATAAATGTAAACTTACATGTCAGTATGTTGTTTATTGTTTTTACACACATCAGCGCTCATAAGAAGTCTGTAATCAAGCATGAAAAGAAACAGCAGTCTTCTACACTAGCACAACAGCAAAAGGTGTGGTGAGAATACACAACAACGCAGAATAATGCAGGACTGAATGCTGCAAAAACAAAATACCACATAAAGGGCAGAATAGCATATACAACACGAAGGCTACAAAAAAGGAATGCGTGTTAAAATAACACATCAAAAAGGACGCCGTCTGAAGTATAAAGACTCTGTATGTCTGCTTTTAGTTGTCGTCACTTGGAGCCAAAGTACCAACCTGAAATATCTTAGCTGAGCACAATTTTAACAGAAATGTGAAGTTTGCTTTTATTAGAGGACTGGAACGCCTGTTTTCACAAGGCAGTATTTACTTCAGTCCCTCTTTCTCCAGGTGTCGGTACTTGCGAGAACTGGACAGGTGTATCAACGTTTACCCAGAGCTTTTTTATCCTGAACTCTACATCCTAGAAGGAGGCTACAAGGAATTCCATTCACACTTCACGGTAAAACACACCTGAAGTACTGATGGGATATGGAGGGCGGGAGCTTATACAAAATAAGGAACATGCAGACGATTGCCCAGAGCTGAGTGTCTCTTCACAGGGCCTGTGTGACCCCCCTGGATACGTGCCGATGCGCCACAGGGACTTCAAAGACCAACTGCGCAGATTCCAGAAGAAACGAAGGACAAAGACAGTTCTTGGACAAGAGGCTCTGATGTCCGTCCATACGCATTAAATCCCATCAGATGTATTCAAATGAATGATTTAGAAATGCAATATGCTAGTTGATTTTTTTTTATTTAAGTGTTTTATGTAAATGAAATAAAGGACACCGTATTTATGGACTGTAATGTCAGAATTGTGATGTAAATGTTTTACTTTGTGTTGTTTTAATAAAACACATACCTCATATGAATCTGTATTACAAATGGTCAATTTAAAACATGTAACTTTACCCGCAACAACATAGAATACAAGAAGTCAGTCACCACTCCTCAGGTGAAGGTCACATTACCAGCAGCCCGGGACGGACGTACCGGAAGCCGCTATACGCTTCCGGAGCCTCGTTCAACTCTGATTGGTTGCATTTTACCGGAAGTACCCAGACGTCACAATATAGCCGGGGATCAAAGACGTAGGGACTGCCCACAGTGCGGCGCAGTGGTGTTCCATTACGGTTAGGGGAGAAGCAGTGGATTGGTCGACCTTAGCAGGATTCTTTTTCCCTTATTATTTCAAAAGACGCGATTTTTCTTTTATTTCTGGGAATACCACAAATTAGGTTGAACAGTAGATATGGCTGCGTATAAATTGGTACTTATCCGTCACGGAGAGAGCTCCTGGAATCAGGAGAACCGCTTCTGTGGCTGGTTCGACGCCGATTTAAGCGAGACCGGGACAGAGGAGGCGAGGAGAGGCGGGGAGGCCCTCAAAGGTGATGCTGCGACGCTTCTTAAAACTCTACTAGCATCCCTTTCCCGTTAGGGGCTGTCTGATTCTTTTTTCCCCAGCGAGTATCCAGTGTTTGACGCGCTGGCTGTAATTTATTAGATAGCCAACTAGTAACTGGATACTGCTAGTTCGTAACTGGAAGGGAAATAGCTTAACAAGATACATATAATTGCTCTCATTTGAAACTCAAAGTTGTCCCTTTTAGCGTTAGGTACATCAGTTTTCAAGTGGCTGTCAGGGATTCATTTGAGACTGGATGAAATATGCACATATACGGATGTCATAAATAGTTTTGTATAAGTTGCCGGTTTAATATTTAGCAGTACTCTTAATAAAGTGGTTGCATGTCAAGGAAAATTAATTGTCTGCTAGTTGTAAATGGCGTAAAGCATTTCTTCCTATAGGAAAGCGCTTTGACTAAAGGTCAAGGCAGCTTGACACGCAGTAGTCGGTTTGCCCCTGTGGGATTTCCTTCGTTGCTCCCTCATTTAGTACCGTAGTACTGCAAGTATACGTTAAGGTAAGTCCGGGTGGTTCAGAGCCGCTCTTATAGCACATGGCCGATTGCCGGCCGCCGTATGACTCATGACGGCGCAGCCCGCGTGCCACTTCCTGCAGGGAGACGCCGAGTGCCGCACGTCCTCCGAACCGCGCGTGAGGCGCGTGGAAATCCGTAAGAGGAGTCTATAAATTTGTTTCCAGGTTTTGTTTTGTGTGTTCATCGTCATTTGTCTTTCTTTTCTTCTCCCCTTTTGTATGCTCAGGGTTTTGTGATGCTGCAACTAGTGTGTTGTTACCTTGATGTTTGCACATTTATAAATTAATTTATTTTATTTTTTTTAAGTTTGATTTGAGAAGTTAGGTGACATGTTCGGTTGTCTCCTTATGAAAATTTCTGGCAGTATGGCTGTATTCTCCATTTTTTGTTATATTAATCCTCTATATGGATTCTTTGTATGGAAATGTGTTTAATTCAATACAAATAAAGATTCTTAAAAAAAAAAAAAAAGTTCATATCAATAATGGCGAGGAACCAAGAAATGTTTCCACGGTACTAAATGAGGGAGGAACGAAGGAAATCCCGCTGGGGCAAACCAACTACTGTGTGTCAAACTGCCTTGACCTTTTTGAACTCTCTTACATTTTCCTTAATGTATTGGAAATCAAAGTGGTGTGTTTCACTTGGTCAGATGTGCCTTTTCTTCATATGTAAACACGCTGCTCCCGCATGCCCCCTTTCAGAGGCAGGTTATGAGTTCGACATCTGCTACACGTCGGTGCTGAAGAGGGCCATCCGCACGCTGTGGGTCGTGCTGGGCTCCATCGACCAGATGTGGCTGCCGGTGCACCGGACGTGGCGGCTGAACGAGCGGCACTACGGCGGCCTGACGGGACTCAACAAGGCCGAGACGGCCGCCAAACACGGCGAGGCCCAGGTCAAGATTTGGAGGAGGTCATTTGACATCCCCCCTCCTCCCATGGACGAGGCACATGACTACTACAGCAGCATCAGCAAGGCAAGAGAGACGTGCATTCAAACTCTATACAGCTGTTAATCCCACGCTGACTGAATGGTGCATTCGAGATGTGTACTGTAATGTAGGTGGAGGGATTAGAGGAGATCACAGCCGTGCCATCTTCATTGTGGGGCAATTTCTGCACTGTGCCATTGGACAGGCATTAAGGTCATTGCCATAGCAACTGGTGAGTCAGCATATGGGCGGAGCCCCTGTGGCTTTGGATGCAGAATCATTATGGGATTCGCAGCTCAGAACTAGACCTGATGAAGATGGTGAAAGTCCTCAAATGTGCCTCAAGTAAAGGGAATGTTTGGGAATGTGCGGCACTGCAGCAGGATACTGTCACCAGAATGCCATGCATTTGGTGAAACGTGCTTTCCGTTAATCAGCATAATTTCAGTCCGTTCTTTTCAAATTGTAGCCAGACTGTAATTCCTTTACCTGTAGGCATTTTTGGTGGCGTATTTAGTTGTTCCAGATTTCAGCTCAGCATGGTTGTACATGCACTTAAGTCACCTGGGGTCCCCTTCTCTCTCTCTCACTACCTAATGACCCCCAGCCCTCACCATGAATATCCAGAATGTATTTGTTCTTGGTAAATGTGGATTTAAGGTCCCTCAGCATCACAGCCCTCGGTTAATGTGTTGCAGCCATAGTATGTCTTCTGTGTACAGAACGTGTCCAGTCCCAAAGGTCACCAGCCTTGACGATCACATCAGGCTTTGGTGGTATTTAGCGAAGCAGTGTGTTAACGGCTCTGTGTACCGAATTCCACAGCTTGTTCAGCGTGTTTCTGCGTGAATCGTGCCTAGTACGGCCACGTTGGGACCGGGCCCTTCGCAAACAGTCCGCAATCGTGAACGTGCTGCGATGCTCCCTGCAGGACCGCCGCTACGCCGACCTGACTGAAGACCAGCTGCCCACCTGCGAGAGCCTGAAGGACACCATCGCCCGCGCCCTGCCCTACTGGAACGAGGAGATCGTGCCGCAGATCAAGGAGGGCAAGCGGGTGCTGATCGCTGCCCACGGCAACAGCCTCAGGGGCATCGTCAAGCATCTGGAGGGTGTGTCCCACCGCTCTGTAGTGTCGGTTGCTACCTCTCGGGAAATGGCTGTCCTGGGCATTATGCGCCGTGCTGCATCTTAGCCCTGTTTTCTGGGGTGAAATGCATTGTTGCAGCAGCTGTATGATGCAATGAAATTCTGCCACATGCGGCCTTTCCGCACCTTCACTTCCTTCCTGCTTTTGTGACACTTCCTTCAGTGAAACGGCCTGTTCTGTCTGAGCCCTGCTCCATGAATATGCGCCTGTGTAAAATGCCACATCGTTACATCCATCAGGAGGTTTGCAGTTACAGTGCAGCTCTTTCCTGTCAGCTCTGCCTGCTGAGAAGCAGCCACATTATTGCGGTTTGATACAGACTGGAAGGTGACGGCTGTAGCCTCTCGCTCCTGCCCCGCCCTGACCCCCCCCCCCCCGTGCTTCTGTCCCGTCAACAGGCATGTCGGAGGAGGCCATCATGGAGCTGAACCTGCCCACCGGGATCCCCATCCTCTACGAGCTGGACAAGAACCTGAAACCCGTGGGCCCCATGCAGTTCCTGGGTGACGAGGAGACCGTCCGCAAGGCCATGGAGGCCGTGGCCGCCCAGGGCAAGGCCAAGAAGTAGACTGCTGCTCTGGCTGAGCGACCACCGGAGCGAGGGCTTTGGGTGGGGAGGGCGGGGCTAGTCAGAGCGACTGTAGACCACCGTGTGTAGACCATGGACGACAACGTCATGGCACATACTGCTACTTCATTAGGAACCACTTATCAGCACATGGAAGTCTATCAGTATTATGGGATGGGGATGAACTTCTACACTATAGATACTCTAGGGACCAGATGACTGAATCCACCTGACTGTCCACCTGTGTGAAGTGTGTTTAATGACCACTTATACTCCCATTTCAAATTTGCGTGTGTTTTACGGTTAAAAATCCCACTTTTGTTTATAGATCATTTCTTATTTATTTCAGTCATTGAGCAGATAGCCTATTCTGAGGATGCTTTGGATAAATGCATCTAGTGTTTATTTCCCCGCCCCACTGTTGTCATGGTAACTGTTGCCTAGCCTACAAAGCAACTTGCTTTTCCATGTTCGATTATGCAGGAGTAGAATTGCGCTGCACACGGTTGTCTCACTCTTGACTGGACGTTTGCTTCTCTGATCTTGCAACACACACGCCAATGTTAAAGTAAGCTGATAGAAAGTGCTGCTTCCTCCTCCCTTTCCTTATTGGCCGTGTCGGGGGAGGGGCAGGGGACCCGCTTCCCTGAGTAGTGTGGTGCATCAGTCTGTAAATGTAATGTATGTGTCTAGTCGTCTTCCTATGGTGTGGCTCTGTAATACTGTTTGTTCCTGTAAGCGCTGAAGGCTGCGAACCTGCATGAATCTACACCATGTTAAAATCCGCTGGGCACCCAGAAAATATATGAATATATGGAAATCTAGTGTAATTCGTGTATATGGTTTTTGCCCCAGCTTGTGTTCTCTAACCTGTGTCTGGGGTGTCCTGTTCCGGCACTTATGAAACCCGCGCTTCGCTTCACTTTGTTGATGTTTAGAGGAAAAGAAGAAAACTTCACTTTGGGCTTTTTAGATGTACACTGGATCTGTGCAACTAATAAATGTCTGGAATCATCTTGCATGTGTCTCTGTGTTTTTCAGATTGATTCCCCTTTTCTGTTTTGTTTTTGGCGCCTGCATATTAAATGTAGCCTGAAAGCAAGAATTACACCAGTAAAGCATTTCTAGGGAGAAACAGGCAGGTCACTTTATATGTTTAAAGCACAACATCTGTGACAAACACAAGGTTATTAGCTTGCGCCATTCCTGGTAATGTCTCGAAAGGTACAGTAACGGTGACAGTCCAATCCCTAGCCTAAAGGCAACTTATTGCTCTTGGCTAGTGGTTTCCAGGCCATATTCTATTGAACACCTCAGCATTACAAACAATGGCTTTGAGGTGACTGGTATAATAAGGTATGAAAGTGGCTAAAAAAAATGTTAAAAACATGAACTGGTTAAGAACGGTTTACGTCTGGTTTCATAACCACAACCTATAACAATGAAATCTACACTTTCCAAGTGCTACCGCTACTAATTAGTACATACATTTTATGACATACAACAACCCCTGCCTCGGAGTTTGATAATATTATTTTTTTTAAAAAGAGGGAAATTAGTTGAGTTTGAATGTTGTCGTAATTATATGCCACAATCAACATGGCGGTAGAGGGATACCGGCACGTGTGTGTAAACTATCCAATCAGCGTCCACCATTTCTAGGCAGTAATACCCAATCAGCGCATGTTATTCCCTTCTTGGAAACATGTCGCCGAGAAAGCTATGTGTTCCAGGTAGGTCTGCGAAAGAGTTTCTTCGGTTTATGTGTGGCGATGTATGATTGTGTATTCTTGTTTAAAAATAAATCCAAGAAGGGCAGTAGATTGAATTTGCTTTGTTTAGTGCCTCCTCGGGTCCCGCACACGTGGGGACGCCGAGATGACCGGGGCGTGACGCTGGCCCTTGGCACTCAGTGTCCGTCACGTGCCTGCGTTTATACGAAATACTGAAATACAGTTATCTGAAGACTTCATACAAACAGTAATCGCACTGCGTGTTGTTTCTTATCTATGAGGCGCCATCGTAATCCTACAGGTTTAGGCGTTTAACGTGAAATTGGCTTGCCTGCAAGTAACGAGCAGTGCCGCTGATAGGCGTAAACAGCGAGCTCTGGCTGACAGATACCACCTCCCTCTGCCTGGGGCGCGTTACGTTCCAGTCATCCCTCTGTTTCGTGCTTTTTTATTCCGACTTGCACGTTGAGTTACATAATCAATGCAGCAGGGTGTGCCCACTTCAATAGCATATAACATTTACTGCTTTTGTCTGTGTTCTTTCGACTTGTTTATTTGTTTATTTATCAATAGCACCTTTTCTTTATTCTATTGTTTTGTGTATTTTTGTCTTGACAGTATGTTTGTTTTAAGATACAAACTGATTCCCTGTTCTTTTTCTATATGGACATTCTCATTTTAACATAATTTGTTCTTAAAGGCTTTTTCGTGCCTTTTCCCTTTAAACATAATTTGCTCTGAAAAGCTTTATCTTTATACGGTGAAATATTTGATCATGTTAATCATGTAATTAATCTGGGCGCAGTTAAGGTTTTAAAACATCTTTGGAGATCATTTTGAAGTAATTTTTTGGCCTACAGGTGAAAAGCTTTGCAGCACAGAAGACTGTATACCCGGGACAGGCACTTACTTGCGGCACGGATACATTTTCGCTGCCCTCGCCGGCTATGTCTTCAGGAAAAACGAGGGCGAAGAGGTGCGTGCAAAGGCGAGCTAAGAAAGATTAATTTCGCATAATTTTGTACGCATTGTGACCTGAAATAATGATTTCTCCCCCTTCCAGCTGCCTGTCATTTCGGTTGTTAAAGAAACAGAAGCTCAGCTGCTGCCGGATGTAGGCGCTATTGTTACGTGCAAGGTAACACAACAAAATCGCCTCCTGTAATACTGCATGTCGTGATACTGCAGTGGCTGGGTTGGTTGTACTAACTGTCAGAATTTCTCTTATGTAGGTCACTAGCATCAATCCAAGGTTTGCAAAAGTCCACATCCTTTACGTTGGTTCAACGCCACTAAAAGACAGATTCAGAGGAACAATCAGGTAAAATTTACACACAAACCCCCCTTTTTTAACTTTTCTTTAACTTTTTTAAGTTAGCCACAGTCTTCTCTCTGTTCTACTCTGGATTTTTAATGTAGATGTACATATTTGACACTGTGCAGTGTGTGTGTGTATATAAACACCAAAGGATATTTAACTCTGTGTGAGGTTCCTTCCTCCGTGTGTGTATTCAGGGCTCCTCGGTGCAAAGGGCATTTTTAGAAATCTTTGAACAAAATGCCACATGTCTGTTGGAGACTACCCCTGTGGTATTTCAGACACAGATGTGGTCATGACCTTTTATCACATTTATTGTACCTAGACAGCTGATATTTATAACTTATTTTGCATTTAAAACCTTACCGTAGTACTTCATTCCATCAAGGATATTCTAAGGTGGCTCTATACTTCAAACAAAGTCTGAACAAAACGAGATTGAACACATCGGTCGGAACAATCTGTCGCACGCTAAAAGCCATACTGCCACCTTGATTGTTCTGTGTCACGCCAAAACCCTAGAGAGCACAGAATGTTTTCCATGCAGCAGACCCACAAACAGACTGCAAAATAAATGTATTGCTGCAAGAGTGTGAGTCATTTTATAAGGGAGATGACAGTTCTGTTACAGTGGGAGTTGGTCTCTTTATTAACAGCCACTATTGGGTTAATTCTAGAAGCAGCACAGAGAGGGAAGCCAACAATTTACATAACTCTGATGGTTACACACTAAGGAAACACGCGTATTGCACAGCTATGATATTTGCTATTGGCAAATACACATTAATTTACAGTACTTCAACTGTGGTGTGGTGCAAAGCATGTTTGTAGTTGCATAATTAGTTTTGCTGACCAGCCACGCGGTTTCACATTTATGTCGGCCAATCATGGGCAGTGGGTGGGATCAGACCATGAGAAAAGTTCACCTCAAGGACCCGGCACAGGCGGTGTACCTACATGGCGATCGCCATGGTGATTACGGCTCATATAATGACGTATTGCTAAAGCGTCAATTCCGAAGATTTCGTTCAAAGTATGCTGCCACCTTATCATTAAAATAAATTTTAATTGTCTTCAAATATACTTCTACAGGAAAGAGGATGTAAGAGCAACAGAAAAAGACAAGGTATGTATGCAAGTGACATTCAGTACCTGAACTGCAGTTTCTAATGACAATATTAGCATTAGCTAGTCGTTTGTGTTTTGTTTTAAATTTAGTCTGCAGATTTGGTAAAGATTTTATTTCCTCATTGTAGGTAGAAATATACAAAAGCTTCCGGCCTGGAGATATCGTCCTTGCAAAAGTGGTATCCTTTTGAAAGGAGATTTGAAAATGCTGTGGGGGAAAAAAGGCAGAAATGTGTCATGCAGGTTGAATTCCAGCCCCCCGTCACCCAGCAAGGCGGCTCCGCAGTGGGTGTTTACTCTCCCCAGCTCACGGCCTCATGATTCCGCTGACGTTCTTCCTGGTAATCAGTGCTCTTGTGTTTCTTGCCTCACCTGGTCTGTATACCCAGCGGCAGGTTACACTTGGCCTGTATGAATTCCATAGACACAGCATGGTCAGTCTTGGCCTGCATGTTTACTGTTTGCTAGTACCATCCTTGACCGGGGCTCATATCTCTTTGGGCGACGTCCAATCAAACTACCTGCTGACCACGGCAGAGAACGAGCTGGGTGTGGTGGTGGCACACAGTGAAGCAGGTGGGGCCCGTCGAGTCAGGAGGAAGGTCACCTTTCCACTTAGACACTCTAAGAACTTTTGTTTTTAATTGCATATGCTGTCTGCTAATTTATTATGAGTATTATTACAATTACTTTAATTTCCTTAATATTCCAGAATTGATAATTTCTTTTGCACTATGTGGATTGTCGCTGCACTTTGATTTTGCACTACTGCATGCATCTTAGCCTGTGTGATGCACAAGAATTCTCCCCTGAGCTCAGCAACGTTTATCTTAATCTTATTTGATTCGGAGAGAAGTAGATCCAGTCTATGCATTTACTCCTAACTTTGCACTTGCCACCATCCCAACAATAGGAGTACAGATGATCCCCATCAGCTGGTGTGAGATGCAGTGCCCCAGGACTCATGGAAAGGAGTTCCGGAAGGTGGCCAGGGTGCAGCCAGAGTTCCTGCAGGCGTGACCTTCCAGCCACCGATGTGGCAGCCCCCCCCTCTCCGTCTTATACGATTAGCCAGTCTTCCAGGGGCACCCAGCTTCTTCCAGTGTGCAGTGAAACAGCACTAACCTGTTCACAGACGCCGGGGGCACAGAATCGGTGATGGCTACAGTGGGAAAAGTCAGGGGTGGTTTGGTCTTCAACTGCAGATGATTTTGCTGTTGCTTTTGAGAATGGAAGGAATGTGAGGTTTTGATGTAAAAGTGAGGAAATAACTCAAGAAATCGATGTTCTGTCAGAATCATTTATGCATATGGTCATTGGTCTTTGTACATATTTCAGAGGTTGTTTTACAAATATTTTACAAAAATAAACTGGTTACTGAAAATAAAATGTGTCCTGGTTATGTTGTGATATTAAAGCATTCCGCTAAAGATCTCAGATTCTCTGAAATCTCTCATTTCTTGAAGCTCAGGGCCACCACATGTCTCTGGAGGCCCTGCTCCACGTTCCTCACACACCTCATCCCGAAAACGGCCCTCTCTCCCACAAACTTCTGGAAGAGGAGAAGTCCACCCCCAACCCCGAAGTAGTGTGACTTTGTGGCTAGATAAATGACACCATCCGGGTCCAGGAGTCTGTGAAAGACCTGGTGGAGTGTAGCATAGTAAGCTGTGTTATAGATTGTCTCTGATGTCAGTATGATGTCATATTTAGGCGCCGTGTCGCTGTTAACCATCAGTGGGAGGAACGCTGCCCAGTCACCGGAAAAAAACCTGCACTTGACAAACTGAGGGTGCTGTGATAGATCTGTGGCTCTCTTCTTTGACGAAGGGCTACCGTCATCCTCCTCCACACTGCTGTCCTCACAGTTCAGAAGAACAGTGGGTATGGTCAGTCGGTCGACCACCGTGCTGTTGTAATCCTGGAAGTGCACATCACTGGCCCCCATCTTCAGCGCCGCGATGCCCAGCAATCCTGCCCCGCAGCCCAAGTCCAGCACCTTCTTCCCAACAAAGCTCACTCCTTCAGCCTCAATGTACTCCAAAAGGTCATAAGTGCACTCCCAAATTTTGAGTCCGCCCTCATATACACCAGAGATGAGGTCAGAATTCAGGGCTGCAGTCTGGGACAGGATCTTCTCGCTATCTGCCTCTACTGAGGTTGTTGTTTCAAACACAGTTTCATTTAGGTAGTGGAGGGGGGGCAGTGACCCCACGCAGAAGGTCTCAAACACGCTGTCTTCAAAGAGGGACGGATGACTCTTAGGATTGTGCTCTACGGCCTGTTTTACCCTTAATCCCGCGTCATTTACAGCATCCTCCTGAAATTATATTGAGAAGAACAAAACACCATTCACTTACAGAGCACGAACAGTCGACGCTTCAAAGTTTTACAACCGTATCGCTATGCGGCGTTGCAAATCATCAAAAAAACTCATAACATGAAAGCACGTGGCTGCACAGCCCGAGAGGTGAAGCGACATTTCAGCTGTTTAACAAACTAGTCGCATACATACGGCGTCAGTCGAACGATCCGGCTGTATTTGGATACGATTCTTCTCACGCGAGTCCGCATCGCTCGGTTCCTTGGTGTTTATCTGAACATCGAAATTAAAACTGAAGGCCATTTTAATGTACGCATATGCCTCGGAGTGTAGATAGAACTGTAGTTTTTACCGTATGCATGACGTCAACACGAGGTGACAAGCGGGAATGGACTACATCTCCCAGCATCCCTTGTAGAAAACAATTAATTTTTCTGTACTATTTTATTTAAAGCTTCTATATCACGATATTTCTACTTTATACATAATTTATACTTTATATACGATTGTGCAAAGTAGGCGATACTGCTGCAACTTGAGATTTTCATCACGTCCAAACGGGAACGTATCTCCACCCATCGCTACCTTGTCATCATTAACTTGCGCAATATGGTTAGAGTTGGGAGGGAAAAGGAGGCTCTGCAGTTTGAAATTCCGTATCGCTGCGTGTGGGTGCAAGACCTTGCGTTTCTTAGGCAGTAACATGACTTGAGAACCGCGGGAGGAAGTCAAAGGTAAGGAAAGCCCAGTGCAATTGGTGGTGATATGCGGGTTAGGGGGAACTCGGCTGCCTGCCTCATTCGTTAGCGTGGACTGCGTCTCTTATAATGATTTTTAAACACTGTTCCAATGAACTTCTGTATTGATAAGATGATGGTGACGAGACTGCGGTAGACAGTGGAGATTTTACACTATCGGGCAGCTGGAGGAGTTGATTCTGCAAGCCAGTCATATGTCACCGTCGCAGGGCACAGAGAATCTTTTCATATGATATGTGTAAAACTGGTAATGTCATTAGCGAAATAAAGCATATAAATTAATGGAAATTCAGCGTGAACCGCCTGAATATGTCACCGTTCTGTTACAATGTAAATTTGTTGTTAGACTCTCTGTAGCTTTGCAAACTGTTAACATTCACCTTGTTTATTGTCCTCCTTTGTTTCGGAAACATCGTTACAATTAACGATATTGCAACACGCCACTTGTCCATAAATGGGAAAGATGTGAACGTGAGAGAGCCGAGCACCGTCTGCCGTGAAGTGTCGGGTAGCTGTTTAGTAAAGCTGTAATTTAATTTTATTATGCTTGGTACAACAGTTGTACCGAAGTATGGCAAAATGCAGAAATTCTTTTGTAACCGAATGTATTTATTTATTTTTATTTATTTAAGTAGTTGCAGATATTTAAAAATGATCGAGTAGGAAAAATTGGCACTGACCGTGGCCTGCATTTCGCAGGATTTCCGTGCCAGGTGGATTAAACAAACTGAATTGTTGTTTTTAAACTGGTTGTACCGGACTGAATTGGATATGCAGATTACTGGACGGCTGCATCACGGTCGGACTGATATTTATTAAAAGATGTTTGTTAGATAACTGCAAGGGCTTCACCCTGTGTGCGTCTTCTGTGAGATCATATATGAGGGAGGCGATCAAACCATGTGATTATAACACGACACGCCATATAATCAGACGTGACTCATAGTCATAACCGCACAGTTTCCTTAACTTATTGCCCTGTTGAAAATGTCTATTCACTGCTACCTTCTTAAACGGCAGTTTTTGTTTTGTTTTTTTTTAGCAGAAGCAATATTTGGATAATCTATGCCGCATGTCAAGGATGTGAGGTCAGCGATCAATACGCATCTTGCAAAGTTAATCTAAAAGCTTTAAAGTTTCTTAATTAGATCACATGCTGTACTATCTTTCTCGCAATCGAATCGAATTGCAAGATCGAATTATCAAAACAAACAGCAATTTTAAAACCTGCAGTGATGAGCATGTAAATATGCGTTCCATATGACTTCCTGTACTTGTTTTTAATTTTCACTTTTAAGAGTTCTCGCAGCAAAGGTGATCATCCTCATTCACTTGTGGTGTTTATTTTATTTTATTTTATTTATAAAGACTACCCAGTCAGTATGTCCTAAAAAGCATGTGATGGATGTGAAGGAGATCACTCTGGTGCATTGTGTGAATGTGTGCGTGCATGTGCGTGCACACATGCATTAAGATTTCAGCATTGTTGTCTGTAATTTCATTCATTCTAGGCATCTTCCTGCTAAAGATCACCACAGAATCTGAAAGATGGAAAGAACACAACCCGAGCAATCAAACTTTATGGGTGTATAGGCCGTATGCAGAGTCAGCTTCGGGTTCTACACTGGACCAGAACCTCCCCATGAGGGGAATCGCTGATAGGACCATGAGAAAGTATTTAATCTCTCTTTCCTCAGTGAAAACTTGGAGGGCTGAGATTTATTTTTACATTTGATTTGTTCATTCCATTTTTGGCTGCTTCATATTCACACTGTGTTATGTAAACCCATCATATTAGTACGCCTTGTCCTTATGATAGGTCTTTTTTAATGGTGTGCTTGTTCTCCATGTGCTTCTGGTCTCTCGCCTGGGATACAGGCCCTGTTCCACGTGCTCCGATCCCTCATGGACACACTGATGCGTGCCTCAGTCCAGCACAACTTGAGTTTGTTTGTGGTTAAAGTAACACCAACCAGTACTTTTCTGTTACACAAATAAATGCTTTTATTTGCACAAACACATTGGAATGCTTCACTTCACCTACCCAATCTTGCTCTTCATAGCTTGGGGGGGTGGTCAAGGGTCAGGTCACGGTCACAGCACACGGTTAGCCAGTGTGCAGCACCCCTGGAGCTGGGGGTTAAGGGCCTTGCTCAAGGGCCCACAGAAATTTGACTGTTCTACCAAGGCTGGGACTCAAACCAGCGATCTTCTGATCATGGGCATAGGGACTTAGCCCACTGAGCCACTCGCCACCCGTAATGTTGAGTTGCAGTGACACCTAGGTGACTCTGAACAACGAGCATGGCTAAGAATTGGGGCAATCTGCACCAAAGCACTCTGGCATCCGCTCGCTCGCCTGGATTGACAGCTCTGCAGTGAGGCGTGGAAGGGGGCCCCGTTGGGCTGGTGGGGGAGCAGTCGAGTCATTAATTAAGATGATGAAAATGTGCCGGCTTGAATTACGGTAACACCAAGCTCACCATTCCTACCTGGAGGTTTAGCCAGACCTGGCGGAACACTGAATTCCCTGTGTGATGGAACGTCAGCCGGTCGCCATGGTGACAGCGCCATCTGCTCATTTTGAACATTGATCCGTCCCGCCGGGGGCTCCGGCAGCCATTAGTGGGCCTCATAAAAGGGTCACGATCAAGAGTAAGGAGACGTCTAACAAATGGCATCCGACAGGAGGCTGGGCGACGGCACAGGGCTCACGTTTAGGCCATGTTGTGTTGCCATGGTGACTGGTCACCAGCCCCATGCCCGAAAACATCTTGGTCATTGAAACCCAGCTGGTCCTGATTAGAATGAGTAGCTTGTTAAGGATAAACTGGGTCAGCCGGCTGGATTGAGTGGGAGCAGGCGGCAATCGGATACCTCCTGACCTCCGTCATCCTCCGCTGGTCATGCTTTGGTGATCTGGTGGTCCATCTCGTCCAACGTTGCATGGTGCATTATTGCATTCCTATCATTCCATCTAAATGAGGTGCAGTAGTGTTCTCCTGCAGCGGAGTCATCTTATACCCCTGTGATTAGTTGGGGAGGAGGGGGTCAATTATCTGCCAGCCGTCACATTAAAAATGAACCGCAAGAGTTTGGCAAAAGCAGATACGTAATTAATACCACGCAGGTTTTTTTTGTGTGTGTGGTGAGATGCCGGACAGCCCTGGGTCGTTACGGATGGGGCCCCCGCTGACCATGTGCCGGTCGGATTGGGGGTCCTCGGCATTCTTCTGTAACGGATACCCTCTTATCAGAAATATCGCTCGTCTCCGGTGTCCCAGCTCCGTCTCCGCAGGAGAAATTCACCCTCGGCTGCGTCTGTGCCGTCACCAGAGGCGCGGGCTGGCACATGGGGAAGTGTATTTCTCATGAAATTTTCACAAGCGTCAGGAATAGCAGTTGCGTTCCTGGTTTTTGGCCACGCCCCCTTTCCACACGCCGGTATAAATAGTGTTGCCCCGCGCTAGTGCAGGAAGGTGTTGGGGATAATCAGACGATAGAGGGTGGGGGCAACACAGTCACGGTACATCACAGCACAACCTCTTCCTGAGGTGCGAGGACTATTTATGACTTATTGCTAATTAATTTGCGATTTAGCCAATGTTAGACAAGGTGTATTGTGTCAGGGTACAACAGCCTTCTTTTGCTGAGTTTTTTTTTTTATATAAAGTCAGCGCTGGTGATGTGTACTGCCATTGCAGCTGGGAGGTGCAGGCGTGAAGGTCAGTGATCATGCGCCCTTTGGGCCAACGTCTCATGGTGTCCCTGTTGGTGCCCCGCAGGGTGGGGCGATGAGCCGCTGGAGGCGCCTGAGCCCCACAGCCGCCCGCCTCTTCCTGCGCTGCCTACACCTGCGCCCGTGTTCCGCGTGGGGGGGCCGCGGGGGGCGCATGACCGGCCGCCTGAAGGAGCTCTGGAGTTATGGCCGGCTCCTCCTCAAGTCGCTCTGCTTCAACGCCCTCTGCAACTTCGACGTGTTCCTGGACTCCATCTTCGAGCCTGTCTACTGGCTGGTGGACCACCTGACCCGGTGGTTTGGGGTGGTAAGTCCAGTTCGCGTCCTCCATCTGCACGTTATCCTAGCGGGACTGTGAGAGGGAGCTGGTCTCCATGATATGTGACATATAAAAATACTTCGAGGGTATGAGTGTGCGCAGTCCAGGCCGGGACTCGGGGCAGACTGGCGTTTAGTGCAAGAAACCTAGAGAAGCAAAAGGCGTTTCTCATGTGGTTCTCCAACAGTGGAATAAGTGATCATCAGATTGCTTCTCTGGCTCCAGACCCATCAGTTCCAGGAATTCCTTTACTAGCCTGATGCCCCTTTGTTCCTGGGATTTTCTCAGTGCCACACTTCTGGTTGTGTAATAGGTTCATTAGGTTCTTGCTCTGCTAAATGATCCTTCTTTTGCTCCAATGCTGCTCACACTTGTACTTGGCCTTTCATTGGAAGCTCAGCCTGGCCTCACTTGTGCTTATTCGCCTCCATCACAGCTGATTGTGTGTAACGTGCTATTTGCCTCACTTTCAACAATTTAGCCTCTACTAAATAAAAATAAGCACATATAAAGATGAACATGGTAGATCTGCATGATATCAGCGGGATTTAACACTTGGTAAAATATGATTAACTCCTTGTTATTATTATTATTTATTGTTGTTGTTGTTGTTGTTTCATGCTGCTTACCCGCTAACTTGTCTGCTCCTGACCTATATCATCATCTCGTCACCGGCTTGTCCCCGCCCCCTCCTCCCTGCCGCTACCCAGGTGTTTGTCTGCCTGGTCATCCTGCTCACCAGCTCGGTCCTGGTCATCGTCTACTACTTTGTCCTGCCACTGATCATCAGCACCTATCCGGCGCACTGGGTGACATGGCACCTCTGCTACGGCCACTGGAACCTGCTGATGATCGTCTTCCACTACTATAAGGCCATCAGGACGTCCCCGGGGCACCCTCTGCAGGTACGCGCCCCGCCCGAGGGGCACCGCGGGTTCCGGGAGGAGAGAGGAGGAGAGGGGGGGTTTGGGTGCAGAAAGGAATCATGGGGAAGGGCTGGGGTAGAGATGTGATGTTGTTGAGTGGTTTAAGCCACAATCCCCTGTCTCCCACGGCAAGAAACGCGGCATCAGAGGTGGAGAGTTCAGGTCCAGAAAGTACAAATCCAGACCAAGGTTTTGTTTCAACCAACCAGTTGAGTGCTCTGTGAATGTGACTCTTCGTAGTAAACAAACAAAACCTTGCTCAGGATTTATACTTTCCAGACCTGAACGTTCCGCCTCTGCCCGCCATGGTAATCGCAGTCACCCTGGCTTCTGCTCCTGATCTCCACTACCCAGAAGCCACTGCGGCTGTTTATGCAAGAAAAAGACTAACCTGTCAGTTTACTCCACATGGCATCATTTTCTGTTAAAAAGCTTCTCATTCATATTAGAATTTTATGTGCTTATTCTAAGCAAGTAATATTTATTTCCTTTGTAGATGAAGACTGACATACCATCAGTGTCCATTTGTAAGAAGTGTATATTCCCCAAACCGGCCAGAACTCACCACTGTAGCATCTGCAACCGGTAAGGAGACTGCAGATCTTGCTGGGTACTGCATTTCTGTGCTGTGGGCCATCTGTGATCCTGGGTTGATTTCAAAGCACTTAAAATCCCCTCTGGTTGCTCTCAGATGGGTGTCGTGATCTAGGATGAGCGTGATTGCGGTGCCCTTCTTAACTTTGTCTCTTACAGGTGTGTGCTGAAGATGGATCACCACTGCCGTATCCTTTGTGATTTAAACATGAAATTTGGTGCATTTGGCCTGTTTGTGGATCCAGGAGTCTGCATATACACCTCGACACATTTACATTTGAGAAGGTGGGACCAGTCAGTTCCTGGGGCGTTCACGGGCACAGAACCATTTGACCCCCACACCAACCCCACACAGCAGTGGGAGATGCTGGTCCTTACTGGGTGTGCTGGTTTTTAGTTGCACCTATGCTCTTAATGGCTTTTCAAAGCACAGTTGGACTCTGATGCCTCACCTGAGGTACCTTTGAAGATGCTGCTTCTTAAGGACGAGCAGGTCTGTGGTCCTTGGGGGCTGAATAGCTTGAAGAGGCTTGGTATCTTCTCCCTTTCTCACTGATATAAAAGTGTGGTATAACATGAAGGCCCCATCCCTGTGCTGATTGTCCTCCACATTGTCCTTGACTGGCTTCTCCCTCAGCCTGGCTGAATAACTGTGTGGGACACCTCAACCACCGCTACTTCTTCTCCTTTTGCCTCTTCATGACCATGGGCTGCATCTACTGCAGCGTGAGCTGCTGGGACATGTTCGTCGGGGCCTACAACGCCGTGGAGGTGAGTGTGGTGTTGACTGGTGTATCACGGGACCATAAGCTCTGAGTAGCTGTGCTGTTAATCTCTTTTGTTTGCCTCACATTGACGTCCCATAAGGCCAACAATACTGCCCGCCCGGGACTTGGTGTTAATGAATGTGTGGGGTGGGGCGGGACATGAGTAACCATGGCAGCCTGTGTTTATGTTACCATGGTAGCACCATAGGAATTGGGCCAAGGAGAAATTAAGTGGGTGGGGCTGTGGTAGGACACTATTGAAGGTCCAGTATTTAGGATCTTTGTTCCACCCACCCCAGAGGGTGCATGTGCATGTAGGAGTTCCCTGCATCCGTCTGTATTCCACCTGCTCACGCTGGTCACGCCCCAGGGGGTGTGGCATCTCTCCCAAGCAGAATAGGTACACCCTGGGGTGATGTCCTACAACAGCTTCTCTGAATTATTAATGCAAACCAAATGAAACATCTGAAGATTTTTCTATTGTTTTGCCATTCATCAGAGGTCTGGCCCTTTGCATTTTTGCAGTGACAAACCGACATAAGGTCTTTTCCTCTGTGCCCACCATAATAATCTCCACCATGGACCTTATCCTTCCCCGGAGACGTGCTGTGTGTCCCTCAGCCCTGCCTCCTTTCAGCTGCCGCCTCCGTCGCGGCTGTGCCGCTCTTCAGCATAATCACACACAGCTCCTGTCAGCTAGAGTGCCGCTGGACTTTTCCTTTTGTGTCGGCGAGAATGTAGAAGGGCTACCATCTTATGGGGGCTGCACTACACCCAGAAAACACAAAAAAGGGTCCATAGACCTGTAGGTTTTACATGTTAAATATGGAGAATGGTGACTTTGTCATTCCATGCCGCAACGTGGGTGCAAGTCTGGTTCATAGATATTTGCCTTGTGTGGATGCACGTCTAGTTTATAGATAAATGCTTTCCTCTGTGATGGATGAGTATTCGACTAATGGGATGCGAGTGTTTAAATCATTGTTCTGTGTCGTTCAAGAGCTACTATCAGACCCCTGAGCCTTTGTTCACCTTTACGGAGAAGCTGTTTCACAAGTGTATGATCTACTTATGGGTGCTTACCAGGTGAGGCCTCTCAGAATTTCAGCTTGATTCAATGTACAGCAGGCCTGCATGACATTCTTACAGTCCACTGCATTACACATGCAGAGCCCGACAGTCCGCTACAGTCGCTGTCATTCCTCCTCCCCGCAGCTCGGTGGCAGTAGCCCTGACAGGGCTGACGCTGTGGCATGCGGCTCTCATTACCCGGGGAGAGACGAGCGTGGAGAGGCACATCAACCGCAAGGAGGCTCGACGGCTGCGGGACAGCGGCAAGGTGAGCCTCCCCCCCCCTAGTGGTCCCTGTATGCACTGACCTTGTTCAGTCCAACGGCTTATTAACGCTGTGAAAATATTTGAAAGTATATTAGCATGGTGGCAATGGAGAGTGTCTGGCCATGATATTTATGCAGGTCTTCCGGAACCCGTACAACTACGGAAAGGTGGAGAACTGGAGAATATTCTTTGGTGTGAAGAAAAGAAGGTGAGACTGCAGCTTACTCAGCCGGACAAACCGTTCCACCGTAGCGTGAGAGGCCATGACTGAACTAAAGTAACACATATTTCCAGCACCCAAGTTATGAGCCATAAATGTACTGATGGGGGGGGAGGGGAAGTAATCTGTAAATGTCAGGATTAATATGCCTAAAGGCAGCCAGAGCATTTAATCTTACTCTTTCCTCCACAGCCATTGGCTGACTCATGTCCTCCTGCCCTCTGACCACGCCCCCTTTGGGGAGGGGCTAACATGGGACCGCTCTGTATACAGAAGAGATCCAACTGCTATATAACCACACGTGTCTTCTGGTGCTGGCCTGGAGACAGACATTTGGCCTGTGAAGGTTACCGATTCCCTGGGACTGGGGATGGAGGACCTGAAAGAGGACAGGACAGTCCAGCACAGCCCAGCCCAGCCCACCTAAGCAGTGCATCCCAGCAGGCTGCCCTGTTGCCCCTTCTGTACACGACGGGCCCATTTGTGTGTGTGTGTGTGTGTGTTTGAATGTGAAACGTCCTGGTGTTGTCGTGCCATAAACTAAAAGGGCTGATGGGCTTTTCCCAGAAAGACGTCGGCAAATGCGATTGGTCAGTCGGGCAGGAAGTGGAGGTGGGATGAGGTAATGACTGTGTCACCACGGCAACCTGAGGATGGCATGGAAGCAATACAAAGAGCCCAGACTGAACTCCATGCAGCGGTAACCAAAAGGAGCGGAGCTCCACTGCAGACTGTGCAAATTTGTACCTGTGAAATGGATTGGTTTTTTTTTTTTTTTTTTGCTTAAATGTTTTTAATAAATGTTTGTCATAGTATAGTGTTCGAAACCCATCCCTTAAGGCACAGATGAATTACTTAGGAAATCTCAGACTCAAATGCATTTATAAAAATCTGACATTTATTTATAGAAACTTAAATCATGTCCACAATAGCCCTGACTTTCGTTGTGTGAGGTTTAATGTTAGTTGGCTAACAGGGACAGACAGCTGGTGACCAGTTCGCTGTCTGAAAGGATTAGCACACATTTTTACGAACTAAAAATAGGTGCCAGTACTAACTAATGTCAGTGAAACCCACGTGAAACCTATATCCCTGCATGTTCCATGTCAGCGGTTGTTGGTTCATTTTTTTGTTTCCTCCTTGTCTGGTTAGAGAGTGTAGGTGGGAATACTGTAGTTTTGTATTATAGTTTTGTCTCCCACCATTCGCTGGGTAAGAGTCCATTTGATCTAGGACACGTTTCCGGTGTGGTTTGGGTTCTAGGTCCCCACTTTCCCTTGCCTCACTTTGTGCGCTCTAGGGCCAGAAGCAGTGCGATAGAGTGTGTGCTACGCTGAGTATACAAGGCTGTGGCGGCAGGTTGGAGTCCGGGGCCGTCTGCTGTGGACACGCTCTCCCCTCCCCAGAGACACAGCGAGGTGGGGGAGGGCTCACCTTCCTGGGCTTCCCAGGAGGAACCTGCAAACCAGCAAAAACTCCTCGTTACCTGGAGTTTTAATTACCTTGTAGGGAATTATTATATTATCCTCATGTTGGGACTGATTATTTTGTTAGTTCCAACTAAAAAGCACTCAGTAGTTTTTACTAAAACTCAACTTAGGGGGTTAATATAAAGTGCAGTTAGTTTATTTGCTAATCATGCTCAAATCATACAATGTTCCAAATATTGATTGGATTCTAATCTGGACCTTTAGTAAATGAAAATCCTTTCCAGGATCTGCTGACTTGCGCTCTTAGGTTGATGTTTTCGGATTATCGTTTAGTAAGCATTGCTGCGTGAGCCTGCTGCCTGCGCAGCCACTTCCAAACCCGTGACACATCTGTTTGCTGAATTTTCCGTTTCGCTGCTGAACTGCTGCTTTGGCTCCTCAAACAGCTCACATTGTATCCCATGCTTTGTCTGTTCATGCACAACCAAGTGCTCCTAGGCGGGATGAAACAGGGTTGCCATATTGTTTAAGCGTGACTCACCACTCTCCCCGCGCTGCTACCGCCTCCTTCCTCACCAGCCTCTTCTTGTCATCCAGGGGAGGGGCCAGTGCTCGCAGAACCCTATCGCGGAACGGGAGGACCTATGGGGGGAGGGGGCAGCGCACACAAAATCTTATCATTGGGTAGAGGGGCAGGTACAAAACTGCTAACAAATACTTAATCCCAAAACCACCAATGCAACGGATTCTATTTATTGATTTAGCTTGATTGATTTAGCTTTGATGCTTTAAACCAAAATGATGTACAACCAGTTCCTAGAGCCATTGGGATTAAGGGCCTTGTTTAGGGCTGCAGCGGGATATGAACCAGCGACCTTCCGGTCACAGTCACAACGCCCTGACACACTACACACTAGCACAGATTATTTGAAAGGATGGGTATGGTGGTCACTCCTGGGGGGTGATGGTTAAAATGATGCCCCCTTTATTTCTGAATGAGCCAGACTGACCAGCGACTGAAACCACAGGCAGGACACCAGCAGTGTGTTAGACGGAGATTATTGACACAGTCTGAGGTCCGCGGTCAGATGCTGCGCATCAATGCCGTGGCGACCACAGTGGTATGCACCTGCCCCCCCCCCCCCCCCCCCCCCGAGCGGTGCTTCAGCAGGCCGCTGGTCATGTGATCCACGTTTAGCAGGATACGACAGGGACGGCGGCGTGCATACGTACTCCGTGATCGGGGAAGTGGGACACGGCGTTAAGGCATTGCAGGGAAGTGATGCGTACTTTCTGGGGGGGGGACGACACAGAAATCAGTCAGACATATGCACTGTACAAGTACTCCTGTTATAGAAATAGCTGGGGTGATGGGGGTGGAGGAATGGAGCAATATGATGGGGGGGGGGGAACGCGGTGAGTACCATGGCAGGGCTGCTGGTGAGGCCGAGCAGGCGTGATATGAGCCCTTCAAGCTGGGGGCAGAGGGTCGACACCGGCGAGGAGTCCATCAGCACGGGGTACAGGCAGGAGAGGGTGGACAGCTGCACCGCTTGGTCCGGGCACGAGAGCGCCTCCCGCAGGAGGGGGAGCAGCTGCACACACACAGAGAGACCCTCCAGCTCGCGGCTGACAGCCCGGCGTCTGAATCCCGAGCACCGCTAATTAAATACTGTTCTCTGCTTGCTTCTGTTGTGACCTCAGGGTCTTTAATTTCAGCACCTGGTGTAATTATCTCTGCACTATGTTCAAAGACATTTACAAAAAGTCTGGCATTCTTCTCGGTTCAAAATCTTCACTCCCCCCACCCACCCACCCAGGCAGGCAACTCACCGCTGGAAGCTCAGACAGCTGGACCTGCCTCGGAAGGTTGTTCACAATGTGTGAGAGCGCTTTGAGGTAGCTGGGCTTCATCTCTGTGCCGGAGGGAGGGGGAGAAGAGAGAGAGGGAGGCAGGTATCAAGGGCGAGGTCACTCCCCCCATAAGCCGCCGACGGAATCTCTGGGCCTCGGGAATTCCTTGACAGAATGCCTGATTGTTCCATCTCCATGGAAACCACCTTCTGAGCAAAAAAGCCTTCTGCTTATGCAGTGAACTGGGACAGTGAAGGCAAGACGATGTAAGGAAGTGTTCTGTGTGGTCAGAATAGCAATGAAGACCGTGCTGACTGTCTACAAGGGTGCAGACTTGAAAATCTCATATAATGAATTGCTACATGCACATGAACACCTTCATACGTCACTGGAATTACACTTTCATTTTAAATATCTCGATATGATACAGAGTGTTCTGCTCTTTCAGGACAGGACATTCATACTGGCTCTCAGGTTAATGAATATTCATTAGCTGAGTGGTTAGCAGGAACAGAATCTGGACCCCTGGTGATTAAATCCCCGGTGACGTTCCGAGCTGCTCCTGTGACTCGCAGTCTGACCTACTTTCTGCACGTCTGGTGCTTCCGGGGACGTATTGGGATGTGAGCCCGGTGACAGGTTCGAGGACAGTGCAGCCCATGTTCAGCAACGTGGAGCTGGGTTGCTGGTTCACACCCCGTATGCACGACCTCGTGGTGGGGGGGGGTGCTGCATCTCTAACTTCACACCAATAGGGACAGCAATGCTCTGCTGGCAACTGAACCGCACAGAGGCAGGTTGCCAGTTCACAGCCCAAAAATGCACCACTGATGGGGATCTTTCCAGTCTGATTAACAGCCACAAAAGTTTAAACTAGTTGTGAAATTGCTTGGTAATGTTCTGGTTTTCAGCCGAGCCTCGATGAAGTCCCTTCATAAGCCCCGCCCCCTCCCTCCCTAGCCCCGCCCCCTCACAGGCCCCACCCCTCTCAGTACCTTTCTCCGCTGAGTTGAACCCTTGCACCAGCTTGGCCGAGTTCTCCGTGAAGAAGCGTTGTCGGTACATGATGCGCACTTCAGCGTGGCCCGCCCGGGTCAGCACGTCCACCGGGTCGCTCATCAGCACGGAAAAGCCGTCAGCCACTAGGGGGCCCAGCTCATGGTCCGTCAAGAGAGAGAACATCTGAAGCGGAATAGCGGAGCGGGCAGCTTAAACACGCTGGTGTTGCAGGTTCGAGCCCCAGAAGGGCTCAGTTAACCCACTCATGACCCGAACGCGTTACCTTATCCGTCAGCACGGAGGCCCGGGGATGATATCGGATCAGAAGGGCCTTGGTCACCTGAAAAACAGGGGATCACGGTCCTGAGCAGAGTGCGGAGGCAGAGAGGGGCCATGCTGGCTATAAAACCTGACCTCGCAGATCAGAGCAGAGAGACGGGGCTTAACGCTGAACCACTCCAAAGAAAAACACCTCCAGCTGTCAGAATTTCTAACGTCAGAGTTGCCGAGAGGAATTATTGGAGAGGCTGTTGGCACCTTAGAGGTAAGAGTAGGGCTACGGGCTAAAGGTTCAGCAGCCAAACTAAATACAGCAATGCTATATAACAAGACACACCGCAAAGCGGTACCTGGAGGTCCAGTTTGAGGGCTGAGGGTGGTACATAACATGGACACGGTTCTGGTAGGCGGCCCATCTCACCCAGAGCAGCAGGGTGAAGGCCTGCAGGCGGAGGGAAGAGGAGGCGCGGTCCAGCTCCGAGCAGATCCTCCCCATCACTCTGTCCAGCAGCAAGTCCAGCGCCTCCCCTAAAAGCGGGAGATCCGCAGCTGAGCCTCTCCGTCGGGTCCGACCCCTGTTCACCCTAAAAGCTCCAGTACCTCATAACCCTCACTGGATGGACACAGACCTGCGTCGGGTCCACAGTCAAACGGGTTAACCTACTCAGGCAACCCCTCTTTTGTACGTGACTAGTTCTGTGACTCAGAGGGAGGGATTCTGGGTAAACTCCCACCTGCAGGCCTCTTGTTCACCAGGCCGGCGAAGCACTTGGAGGCACTGATGTAGGAGAAGGGGTGCGTGGACGTACAGGAGAGCTCCTCCAACTCCGCCATCAACCGCTCCACCTGGGGCAGCTCCACCTGCAGGGCAGAGCATCACATTACCTGCCTCTGTTCTGAGGATTGTTCTTTGAGACAGTGCCCCCTACAGGATACATGCCGTTACTACATGACATGAGCAGCATCATTTAAAAAAAAAAAAAAAAAAAAAAACCCACAAAAACAAAGGCCGAAGCAGGGTGAAGATGGGCCAGCGTGGTGGGCGGGGCTTACACTCTGCGGCACGGAGCACACGCAGGCCATGAGAAGGCATGTCAGCTGCGACAGGCTCCCGGAGTGCGGCACCTGGAAGATGGGCACTGTTAGCAGGGCCTACGGCCTTCCCAGCATGCACCTCTTCAGAAGCAGATACTGTGACCCGCTACACAGGGACTTGCATCTGTATTCTTGTACAAATGTCTCCACCGGTTCTC